AATCACTATTTGATTAATTCAGGATATGGCTTCTTCCCCTAAACAACTCACAGTATGGCTGGAAGCTGGATTCGCATAACTGTGTCTTCTCAGGCCTAAGCTCACCTCGGCCAGCGAACAGTCTAGTGCAGCCACACTCCGCCCCCGCGGCATGACAGAGTTTTGGGCGCCTTAACGTCGATTGCCTTGCCAAACCACCTTACTGATGGCCGGTGTCAACGCCAATGCTCGCTTCTCTGAGCTCTCGTCTCATCCCTGATCCAGATCGGGACAGCCCTTCGACAAGAACGAACGCGCAAAGTTTCCAGCTGAGTATGGCGCGCGCTCGGGGAAGACGGGAACGCCTCACGCTTGGGGGCATCTAGATCAGGCCCAACAGTTTGAGATCCGTGCTATGTGCTGGTCTGCGATGCTCGTCATCGATCTTTATGCATTTCGATTGCTGGCGCGATGGACATATGAATGTACTTTTGTGATGCATCAAGGATGTGCAAGGTGCAAATAGAATGGTCCGAGCTCTGAGCTCCATGCAAAGGCGGGGAAGGGGATCAGTGTTGCCGAATGAACCTGGAAGTCTCACATGCAATTCACGTTTTGGCAGTATCTAGGATGCAGAAGCTGGAACGAACGAAGACTGCTTTTTGAGATCGGCATGCTGTCGGCAAGGTATTTTCCGAAGGTCAGTGTTGTTTTTCGCCGGGCTTTGCCCAAACTTTGTTGCACATCCCTTCTATAACGGTATTGCAATACGATGCCGAAAGCGCCGTCACGGGGCTTAAAGCGGCAAGTACCATCTGTTCATGAGCCAGATCCTTGCTGATCATTGAAGTGTCACTCGTGCTCCATCAGCAAAAGGCTATGTTCGGGAAAGATCAGATCATGAGCAAGGCAAAATGACTAGTAAAAGCAGAAGCACAGTCGTGTAGTAGTATTGAGCATTAATAGCATTTCAAGCGTGATTGACCCTTTCGTTAAGCCGATCTTTCAGCAAGGGTCAGTAACTATATCAGAGGCCCGCATATAGGTATACAGTAGCGCGTACGAGACCCATCGCTCCGTTTCAGCTCGATGCAACGTATGAGGGCCTCCAGGCGAATGTACAATCGACGTTAAAAAGCAACAAAGTGAAGCGTACAAAATATTGGCCCGCGTGAGCAGTTACAGTCTTCCTTTTAGGTAAGGGAATAAATTCGGAAACGGTCGGCTGCTATGCGCTGCTAAAGGGGGGTATAGTGGTTCGTCGAGCAAGGGAATAGACGAATAGATAGTCAAAGTCAATGAAGGAATAGTGAGAAATAGAAGCAATGCTAGTGATGCTGGTACGAGAATGTAGCAAGATGCAACAATGAAAGAAAATCCAAATAGTGCCTGCATTGTGTAACGCTGGCCATGCGGATGGGTTCTTGATCCTGGTATCATGACCCAGGAGTGTCGTGCAGACTTGCTCTCCAAAACCAAGCCATTCAGACATATCGTTCCACAGGAAGGAAAGCAGTCGTAAGCGTATACGTGCTATGGCAGGAGACACAAGGTGGAGCCGACATTGAGTGGGGTAACATATGCGGTCGCTAATGGATTGCGTCCACGCTTTCGAGTTTGGACGTAGCGAAGGTGGGCTCTGACACACGTCGCATCTCGGAAGGAAGGCTCTCGGAGCTGCGCTTGATTCGTAGCTTCTCCATCAGTTTGCCGATGGTAACATACTCTTGTGGCTCTACGACAAAACCGGCGTTCTGTGACTGGAAGAAATTCATAACCAGCTCTAATGCGCGAGCGGCTTCTTCTTGGGATGGCGTAATAGGCGATGAGTCGGCGGATGACCTTTTGTCATCAATTTGACTGGCACCAGGCACTGGAGGGGGCTGCATTGAGTTAGGGACCTGGGTTGGTGAGAGCGACATTCCCTCATCAATAGCCGGAAGCGCGGTAGGCATCTCGGTCATAGGAGAATCGAGGGTACCGCTGCTGACGTATTTTGGAGTCAGCGCATCAGACGAGCCCGGCGGTGACATATATTGCTCAACGCCTACAAGCATAGGAAAGGTCTGGCTTCGGGGCCGCTGGAAGTTGTTGCTCCCTGGCTGCCCACTAGCAGGCTGGCGGTTGCCTACGAAGGGGCTTGGTCCACATGCTGAATCGGGTGTGAAGAACGGCGACGACAGCGACGTAGGGCTGGTAGCTGTATCTGTAAATACGCTTGATAAGGAAGTGCTGCTTTGTGAATGGAACGGTCGACGATGGTTCGAGAAGTCGTATGTGTCAGGACTTTCCGTCTTGAGATTTTCCTGGCTCTTCTTGGCTTTGATGGTTGTGGTTGCAGGCGATACCCCGCCAGGTGAGGTAGGCGAGATAGCCCCCGGCGTGTGCGCGTTGGATGGCGGATTAGAAGTTCCTTCCGACTCTTCTGCTAACGAGCCTTTTCTTCCCCTTGCTCCCATGAGATGATTCTTTTGCTTGAACTTTTCCAGCCAGCTCGTACTATTCGCCTTGAGATGACTCTCGGAGTTCCCAACAGTCTGAGCGAAGAAGCGGGCCTTCTCTCGAATGATGGCATCTGACAGTGGTAGTCCTTGTCTTTGATGGTTCCTTGCCCAGTTGGATAGGGCTCGTTCGATATCTGGGAATTTGCCTTTCGATCTTTTTATGGGTGATCGGCTGCCGTCGTCCTGGTACAGGTACTTCTCCTTCTGGCGCAACACCTTCGAGACGGTACTACTCAAAAGTCAGCACGGCAAGAGACATGATGCATATGCAGTGGTACCTTCGCTCTACACCGAACATTGCTAGGGTTACGTTAGTGAACGATCCGTGTGGCTAGGTGCATCATAGTGGCATACCTCCAATTTCCGTTTGCTTGACAGTAGGATTCTCCTCGTGGTATTGGCACATACGTCTCCGGTCTGAGTCGGTAAGAGTTTTCCGTGGTGTCGATGAAGTACGGGAGTGAGTTGAGCTCGCTGAGACTGGAGTTGCTGATGCCGGTGTTATCGGTAGTGGGGCTGAAGGAAACAGTGAAGCTTGATAAGTGGATTGGCTGGTGAGCATACTTGGCCATTGTGGCATCTGTGGCATGATCAAAGGCTGCAGCTGTGGATGTGTAGTCCTCGGTGTCGGGTGCGTTTGGTGTGGTGGATGCATGCCGGTCCCGTAGATGGGTTCCATTGGTAGCGGCGCAAAATTGTTGAAGCCATTGTAGTCTTGAACTGGAGACTGGTGATGTGGGTTGTATCCGTTATCCCCATGCCATCCAGAATGATGATCCTCGAAAGGTTCCTGGTGGTGGTGTTGGTGCTCGTGGTCCATTTGGAATTGGCTCATGTCGGATTGCAGGAAACGTATAGATGCGGTGTATCCGTGCGAGCGTGAGAACGAGTGTTCGTGTTAGACGCAGAGCAAAGCAGGGCGTCAGACGGGCATATGCATCTGTACTTGGTGTTGCTATACCTGGGCGGCGTAGGTGACCTCAGAGCGGCCGAGCGCATGCATGCATGAGACGAGATTTTGGTTCCTGAGGCGAAACAGCAACAGGTCAAGTACCTGCTTAGCGGGGGTAGCGCTGACAAAAGGCGCTGGGTATGACAGAGGTCAAAACATATAGGTATAAAGCAGCGCGGCAAAGCAGTGGGCTCAGATGGAGAATTGAAACTGCAGGGAAAGCCTGGCGCGGCGGGCCTGCAGCGCGTACTTGAGGATAAGTCTGGGGACACTGGTAACAGGCCCTGGCTGTGCGATGCGGGCGCGGCCTACTGCAGCTGGCGGGAGAGGAGCCCTGTTTGTTTCGTGCCCAAGCTTGCCGGCAAGCCTGGCGTGTGCTCTATGATCCTTGTCGCCATTCGGCCAAGCGACTTGAACGCGAGCAACAACGTTGGGCTTAGCGTGTGCGGGTCTCTCATCGGGGATGCGCCCCTAGGACAGCGCGGGCCAGAATTATGCGGCCGCCTAGCTAGCTCGCAAGTGCATGCCTCGACGCCTGACTGCTAGCAAGGGCAAATGGGATGTCAAGGCGGCCGGGTAGGATCATCCCATCAGGGCCCTCGCACCGCTGAGCACGTCTGCAGCCGGCTAATCTGACGCTTCCCGAATGAGACATGGTCTGAGTGGGAGCGCCATATTGGCTTCGCCTCGTGCGCCCAGCGCAGTTAATCCTGACCGTTGCCGTACGCTCGTGGCGCGAAACAGTGGGAGCCGATTCAGTGCTGCTCAGGTACGCGAGGTGGTGGCGATTCCCACGGCAGGGGCAGCACGTCAATCATCGGCTGTGCATAAAGGAGAGACAGAAAGTGTCGACGGCTGAAACGCTTTCGGAAAGCTGCAATAATCGCGCCCATGGAAAATCGAGGTTTTGCCGACCAGCCACTCAGGTCTCGGGAGCGATAATGATTTAGCGCCCGACTGACAGCGTGCCTTCTGAGTCGCCAGCGCAACTGACCCCTGCTGATTTCTCCGAATCGACCGCTGCGCCCGTTAGTAGACCAATAAGGAAAACCGATGCTCCAAAAAATTGGGCCAGACAATGCTGATCTGAATCCATCAAATTCCGAAGCAAATATGGAATAAAAACAAATGCTGGTAGCTGAGACCGTTCCAATAACACCAGCGGCGTCATTACCATAACGCTCCGAGGCGACGACAGCAGTGTCTTGGGCGACGCCTCTTTGGTAAGAGAACAAGGTCTGTTATTGATAGCTCGCGGACGGTATCGGACCGCCACCAGCCCTCGAGGATTGGCGATTGGCAAGTACGATCCGCGCCGTAAGCTGCGTTGCCCGCAACTAGTGTCGTCCTGATGTCGTCCGCGGTGCTACTGGAACGAGCCCTCGGCCAATCCAGGCTGCGAGATCGGCTCCAAGCCTCGCTCTGTTCGTCATCTTAATGCTGCGACCTGGTATTGGTATCGCAGTGAGACATGTTCAGCCATCCAAAAGGCCCTTCTGCTCTACTCACTTTTCCCAAATCCGGATCCATAACGCCCGTCATATCTCGTGATCATAAGACCTTATCTAGCGCTTGACAATGGTGACTGGTCCATATGTGAGCTCATGCTATCCATTCAGGATGGTGATACTAGGATACGTACCAATATCTTCGTCGGCAAGCTCGTGAGACAGTCCCACACGTTGGGGTTGATGCTTGCATGACTTTCCGTAAACAATAGCGTGCTTAAAGTTGTCCACAATCGTCTTGTGGATGGAATTACACTGCCAATTTGTTAGCGTGGGACTATTAAAATGAGGGGGAGAGACATACGAAGTCTTCAATGGTACAGGCTGTTGATCGCAATACGACTGGGGCAGAGTAATCTGGCATCTTGCCCTTGGGCTTGGTATAGACACGGACGAGATTCAACTTTTCCCACATCTGCTCCAGGAGCTCATCGATGTTCCAGCCGTGTTCGGAACTAATGGGACAAGCATTGGGGATCCGGTAGAGCAGGTCAAGCTCCTCGATACTGATGGCATCAATCTTGTTCAATGCATAGATGACGGGGATGTAGCTTCGTCCTTTTGCCTCAATAACATCGATTAGATCGTCGACTGTTGCGTCGCATCGAATAGCGACATCCGCGTTTGCCATACGGTACTCGTTCAACACAGCCTTGATTTCGCCGTGGTCGATGTGCGTCAGCGGAACTGTCGCTGTGATGTTGATGCCACCCTTGTCCTTCTTCTTGAGCACAATGTTTGGTGGACTCTTGTTGATTCGAATACCGAAGCCCTCCAATTCGTTCTCAATGACGCGCTTGTCGGTAAGAGGCTTGTTGACGTCCAGAACAATAAAGATGAGATGGCATGTCTTTGCGACTGCGATAACCTGTCGACCACGACCTTTGCCATCCTTCGCACCTTGAATGATACCGGGAAGATCGAGAATCTGGATCTTCGCTCCGTTGTACATGACTTGACCGGGTACGGTAGTAAGCTGCAAACTGTCAGCGCTCATCGTTGCGACGAACACGGTCAACCCACTGTTGTGAACTCATACGCAGCAGCTTCAGAGTGCTGGCCGGTCAATCTGCTCATGAGCGTACTCTTTCCGACCGATGGAAATCCGATGAAACCAACACTGGCAACACCAGTCCTAGCAACATCGAATCCCACACCACCGCCACCGCCGCCACCAGAAGGCTCGAGTAGCTCCCTCTTGAGCTTAGCGAGCTTTGCCTTCAGTTGCCCTGTTCATGTATAAGCATGTCAACATGCATGTTCGGTTCCGAAGCCGTACCAAGATGAAAGGATGTTGCCTTGTTCTTCTGAGTCTTGGCCATCTACGTTTCGTGTAAGTTATCGTGGTATGATCGCGTATTGTGGGGAGTGTCTTACTTCGGCCTCGATGTCTTTGATCTGCCCATGATGTCAGCATGCGGTTCGATGACACATGCCAAAGATATATACTCGCCTTATCCACTGTAGTCGCCATTTTGAGTTATCGTGTATGTTGACTTGATCTGGCTAGGTGTAGAGGCGATGATGTTGTTCACAATTTTGATGCAAAGCACGGCGCCAATGACGAAGCGGGGCACGGATTCTGGCAGAAAATTCCACCGCCACTCGATATGGTTAGCGTCATATGCAGCACCCTTCCATTGTGGCTTCCATGCATGCTTCCCTCACCGGCCTTCACAAAGCTGAGATGCCCGATAGAAGCCGCTTTCGGGCTCTTCGTATCGGGGACTACATTCAACACTCTGAATGCAGCATATGAGGTGCATCACATGTCGCCGAACTCTGCTGACCGACTCGGATCCACATATCACAAGCTTAGAACGCGCAGATTGTTACATAATGAAGCAAGCCTTTCCGGCACAAGCAGTCTTGAAGGGCTGCAACCACGACCTGTTGTCCCTTCCGTCCTTTCTATACAAAGGCTCTCTATCTTATCTCTACGCTCTGACCTCTCTTGATCGGCGTCTTCAAATAGCATCGGGAAACCAATAACTATTGACAACACACTCGCCGCAGACAGTCATCAGCTACCGCTATCGCCATAATGATCAATCGCAACACTGAGCTTGATGGTTTCCACTCACTCGTCCAAGCGATCAACGACGTGCTCGGTTCCAGCAACGGCATCGACTCTGAAGATGTAGATGAGAATGAACTTCAAGAACTGATGAAGGCCTACGTATCAGAAGAGTCAGAGTGGAAGAAGTACTTCTTCCCGTCAGAGCACCTCCCATATACACGGAACGTTGTTGACAAGGGCAACGGAAAGAGCAACCTGGTACAGTCCCCCCCCCCCCTAGGTCGATTAGAGAGGATAACTAAGCGAACAGCTCATTCTGGTATGGGGTCCTGGCAAGAAAAGCCCGATTCATGAGTAAGTTATTACATCTTTGCGATTAAGTGACTCTAGTGTCCGATATCACAACATCTCCGGCTTCGATCAATACTCAAAGGCTTCAGTCTCCTGCACGATGAAGCGACTCCGTTCGCCGATCTACAATTGATCGATGTGTCAGCAGGAGACACGCCGGTAAGACGACATTTCAATAATACATCAACTCCTGACATCCGACGTCGATGTTCTGCTTATTCCAACATATGCGCCTCTGCACTGTGATCTCGCGAAGTAGAAGCTAACAATCGGGCAGCCATGCAAAAGCGCACTGCATCATGAAGGTCCTCAAGGGAAGCCTCACTGAGACCCGATTCGCCACTCCCACCGATGAAGACGTCGAGAACCAACGCCCAATGACGAAGATCCACGAGATTACCTATAAAGAGAATGAGGTCACGTATATGGCGGACACCCTTGGCGTGCATTGCATCTCGAACCCACACCCTACAGAGTACGCGGTATCAGTACATTGTATGCACCTTCTCTCATGCTTATACAGCTGTCCTTCGCTAACCACAGGTAGTGTATACTCCGCCCAACGCGGAGACATACGGATGCAATGTCTTCGTAGAAGACACTTCTAGTTTTGTATTCAATTCGCAATGCAAGTTCTATTCCGAGTATGGCGTCAAGGTGAACAAAAGAGAGCATTAAGCGGTATCGTGCATGCGTGCGAAGATAATTGACAGAACACGATGGGTAATTTTTCATGGAATCAAAGGCGTTGTCGGATAGAAGAGTAGTTGACTCAAGGAGGGTCAGGTTTTCATTTAGCAACGCTGTCACTTCTTTCCATTTACACGAATTCAACATCGCCTCCAACATGCACGCCTCACAAACAACGAGGCAAACCAAAGCTACTCACTGATGGTATACTACACCTCTCGCCTATCAGGCGCACACACCAATCTTCGCATACATGATCATCAGCAAGTGCAGAAAGAAGAAACCTCGCCTTTTGTACAACCATCTATCTACAAGCAGAAGCACCACAGCCATATATGCCATCCTTTTCTACTTCCTCTTACTTGACTACGGCCCCGAGAACCCAATTTCCTCCCTCCTATCATCCACTACCCGCCCATACTCTAACAACAATCTGAAAAACCAGACCTCAAAGTCTACATTTCTCAACACTCTGTCATGCCACTCCGAACTCCTTTTCGCAATAACCCTCGCTTTCCTCTCCCCCTCACTATCGCCATTGCCGCCCTTCTTCCCTCCATCAGCATCACTTCTCTCCGCCTTCCCATCCCTATCGTCATCAAACACTTTCGCTCCCGAAAACCATCTCACAAGATCGAGATGTTCGTCGCCGCGCAGAGATAGAGGGATGTAATGAACCCAAGGCCGTAGCCACTCTGCATGCCATTCACGGAACAACGCCATTTTGTAGGTTAAAGACCGGCTTTTAAGAAAGCTGTAGAACCGACCCGAAAAGGCATTACCGTCCATGTCGAGGAGGTGCTTATAGTACCATGCATCCTGTCCGTCGACGCGCTCAGTCACGTCGAAGAATTCTTGTTGTGCATCGCAGTCGCCTGGGTCGCATTGGCCAATGTGGGAGAAGTGGACGTCGATAAGGTTCTTGAGGGCGCGGCGGTCGATTTCCGTCACTGCGTAGGGGGTGGAGGGGCTGTCCGCGGCGGATGACGTGGAGACGGGTTCGAGAATTTTGGCGGTGTCTGGAGCGTTGAGGCGTTGGACTACGTGTTGGCGATGTTGACGTCGCCAGCCGCCGTTGCGGCTGAAGCCTCCTGTTGTAGAGCCGCGCCAGTAAAGACGGTTTGTCTTGTTCTCCCATGTTGTGTCGTGGGTCTCATCGTAGCCTACTTTGCCTATCCAGTACCAAGGACTTGGATACAGGATATCTTGGAAGCTGGAGATCTTCGATTGCGAGAAAATGGGTGTGAGTTCGTGGATGATGCTGAAGGCATTGGGTCGTTCGAAGAATCCGTAGGTTGAGGAGAATGAAGGGGAATTACAGATATCAGAAAAGGCAGTCGCGTTGTAGATAAAGCCAAGGTCGCTGGTAGCATACGCCGTGAGATTGTCGGCGGCGTAGTCTTCGAAAGTCTGGGCCTGACTTCCAGGAGAACATGATAACCGCGAATGGGTCCATGTCTGCTGATGCGCAAAGCGATTGAACTTGGTCGTACTAACTTCGGCAAATCGTGTGCCGTCACTGAGGTCTTCGGGACGAGTTGAAAAGGCATTGCGTGGGGTAGTGTTCTTCGCAGTGCGAGGTAGGATCTCGTCTCTCACCTTTGCCACCATCGATGACATGAGATTGTTGGGTACGATAACTCGCGGTTCGTCATGCAAGTTGAATCCTAGATCCATATCAGGCAGATATTGCACAAATTGTTTCATCATGCCAATCGTAGCTTGTTGTTGCCATTCGTCGCCACCTTGAAAGTTCTCTATAGCCCCATGGCGTACCGCAATCGCAAGCAGTGAGCTATCCTCGTGGCCTAATGCATTCGCGATGCGCGAGCGGATGGTGGATGGCTTGAGTGCCCAGAACGGTAGCAGCATCTCATTGATGGTGTCGTACTCATCTATCATGACAACTCCGTTCCGTGTCGCGAATTCGTACCACTTATCAAAGTGAGGAGGAGGCGGTATTCCATTTCTGCGGCGGTATTCGCGAATTGCATCGGTAAGGGACTTTGATTGCCGATTGAGGGTGCTTTGGAAATCTGCCTCTGCAGCGTCGATCAATTGCGCAGCCGGATGACCTTTACTTGTATCGATCGGCATTGGACCAAGTGGTTTCTCAGGTGGGTAAAACGGTATGTTAGTGACTACACCATCAGCGACAGGTCGATAAGTTTGTGGTCCATTCAGACGTCCAAGAAGTAAAGATCCAACTGCAAGCGCCAGGACTACGAAGACGAAGCGTCGTAATCGCATAGAGCGCCGCGTATCCATCATCAAGGGGGAATCAGGCGACTCGAAGAAGTATACCAGTGCTGCCACACCGTAGATGAACGTAAACAAAATGGTGGAAAAGGTCGGTGCAAAGTGTAGTTTCGCAGCAAGATGTGAATACACGGCCAACAGAGATGTATGTACAGCGCCGTATTGGGAGATCTACTGCCGAGTTAGTTTAATTCATTAGCAACGCGCTGAGAATAAAAGCTACATCTTTGGCTCTAGAACTTGAAAGCAGAGGCTAGGTGAAAATCGGAGAGAAGTGCAAGAGCAGGTATAGTAGGCCAAGCTCATGTTCAGTAATAGCAGAGAGGTACGAAAAGATGTCAACAGCTGATAAGAAGCTCATACGTACCAGAACAAAGACAAGAACATTTACAATGGATTGAACGGGCAACATCCAGAGGAATCGCATGAGGATGCGGAGATTATGCACATCCCTCCATTCTCGGTCATACTCTCTGTATACAGGCTCCCAAGAGATTGTACTTGCGGTCAACGAAGATTCGGTAAGGATAGATGCGATGCCGCACACGACAGCAATGGCCACGGCGACGTCTCTAAGCGCAGCGAGTCGCTGCGCCCTCAAACTGCCGCTTATTGAGGCGCGCCTCGGGATGTTTCCATTCGCAGACATAGGCCCGCGCCTGCTACCATCGCTCTCCTCTGTGGCGGCTCTTATTGTGGACTCGAACAAGACGAGGCCTGTGGCAGCAAAGATGGCACTGCTGAGACCGAGCGCGACAGTCGTTGGAACCGTATAAACGCCAAGAACAACGCTCGCAGATAGCGTCAGAACTGCCAGTATTCCATGTGATTCGTTATAAAGCTGTCGGTCCGGAGAGGTCTTGGTGTCGGCTGCAGGGCCATCGAGGATGGTGAATGTGGGTAGGACGAGATGCTTTGCGAGCAGCTCATTTTCGGAAAAGAGGACGGTGAAGAGAGGTACAAGGGCCTACGGGTACAGTTAGACGGGTGTGATGATGCTACTACTCGTTGAAAGTACCTTTGTCGCCCAAATGCCCTGCTTGTCGCATGCCGCGCGGTCGCATATTGCAGACAGGCCTAGCAGAGCGCCAGCAAGCCAGCTCGTCTTCCGCTTGGCTCGATCGCTGTTTGAATATATCCCCACCCAGAATACCGTCGGTACCCATACTATGAGCCATGAAATCGTCGTTATGAGAAGCGAATGCTGGACCGGCGTGTGGACGTTTGCGACGGCCGCGAGGACGTTGTAGAGCAGTGGGGCAAGAAGGTGGTGGTATTTGACGACATTATCGGCAAGTATGGAGACGGCCGGGTGCATTGGAGCAGAAGGTGGGTCAGCGCTCGTCGGAGGGCATCGAGTTGTCTGGCATGTGTTGAATCGCAATGTTCTAAGGGCCGATGAAGCCGCACCGTGCGGATCTGCAGGGTCGTGAGTGACGCCATGCCCTTCAAGCCACGTATATTCCCACCCCCACAACATCTCAACACCACCATGATTGCGCGATATCTTTTACCCAGTCTGCACACTATCCGATGCCATGACAGTAAACCGCGTGATTCATGCACAAAATGGATCAAGACGCGTCTACCAGATCCGTGACACCCTCGGATGGACCTCTTTTGCACAATCCTGCATATGCTTCCTGCACCCTGCACGTTGCACGTTGCACTGCGGCACGCAGCAGAAAGTAAACCCGGAAATGTTTGAATGCTACAATGGACTCGAGACCAGACCTTCAGCTGCCTCGGGTAGTTTCGTAGGATTATTGGTCTCTAAACATATCACAGTAGGTAAAGCCTCGACCTTTTAGTCAAGCGCTACCTGGCTCTTTGTACTGTCTGCTGCGTTCGACTGTTGTTTGATCTCGGTCTCGCATACTATTGTGTAGGCTGCCACTTTGTTTCAATCTTGAAGGCACGATGCTGAGTGACACGTACGATCAGAAAGGACTACAAGTTGCCAATTCTTTAACACGCAATCAATCGATAACAGCCAACTTCAAGACTTGCATCACCATAAGGTGGACACCATAGATTACCTAGAAGTCTACCTCAACAGGTCATCTCTCACCTTCACTTCACCTCCTGCGCCACTTCCCTTTCTACAACGAGCTCGGGCAAAACTTTCAGACAGTGGTTGCACATGGAGGAAGGAACGGAGACATGCGTCATCTCGTGACTTCGTGTTCACGGAAGGCACCATGGCCGCTCTCGTACAAATACCATCTCTCACCCTCTTCGAGTTCTCTTAATCATAACCACCACAGCTGAAGCCTCGACACGCGAAATCCACTAGAGCGATAATGGAGCCTTCGCCAGACGGCACACACTGTCACATACTGCGCTTGCCGTACGAAATGCTCAAGCATATTTTGGCTGAAGTAAGTGTCTCTGGCTCATTTGCCCTTCTATGCTGATGCGTCAATTGCAGTCAGTCCAGCGCGATCAGCTCAGCATAGCGAAGACGTGCATACACCTCTTGGAAATTGCATACCCGGTGGCTTATCATCGCATCTTTATCAAAACCGATCCGGTCACGGCAATGACCACCTGGAAAAACCTTGCTTCTGGCAACGGTCTACGACACGTTCGGCATCTCCAAGTTCATGATTCAGGACAGTCAACTGCAAATGCTAGGAAGCGGCATCATGTCGGAGACGTGGTCACTGGTATTCTTCTTGCAGCTATGCGCCGGCATCAGTTGCTGTCCTTTAGGTACAACTTAGCACCGCACTATAGATGCTGCTAACGTTCCCATAGTCTAACACACCCTATTGTTGTCCCATCCATGGTGTCTACAAGAAACTCGATCATACTGATGGAAACTCAGCAACACCTTGCACAAGTAAGCTTGCCAAGTTTCATGAGATCCAACAATATCAGCATTGCCGATTATCTTCCGGTGACTTTACAATTTCGCAGCCTTCGCCACATTACGTTAGAGCTGCCTATCAGTAGTAGCGTCGATTACATGAGTAGTGTTATTGGTAAGAAATCACCCAGCCTGAAGAGTATTCATCTTTGGTTCTCAGCCCAGGGTAATGAGCTTTCGCCCCATGTATTTACAGCACCTAGGGGCGAGCCATCTTCTCGGAGTATCTTATTCTCCATGGCTACCAGGCTTACTATTCTTGGCTACGATTTCAAATATCTCCCCACGCGGGTGGGTCTGCCCTCATTTCCTGCGCTCCACGCTCTTGCAATGATCGACTGCAAGAACGACGTTCATTTCCACGTTCGCATCAAACCAGAATGTCTCCCAAAGCTACGAGCGTTACTGATTACAAGTGCCAATTACATACGCGGAGATGACATTATTCGCCTAATCGGAGGAACGAGCTGCTTGCGAGAACTCATTGTGTACGGACCAAACTTGTACTTCATGAATTACTCAAGTCTCCGCTCACACGCGCAGAGTCTCGAACTCCTCTTCTTCGGTATACGGGGCACCTCGATTTCCAGTCTGAGCGCACTAACAGCTCTGCGTCACTTGGGTGTCTCCATGGATGACCTCTATTGTTTGAAGTCAAACGGGTTTTGTATCGAGAGCAAGAAAAGGCTCACTAAAGTCTTTGTGTGTTCACTCCCACCGATCTCAGTCATTGTCCTGACTGATTCAAGGAACTAGGCAGACTTTGCGAGTCACAAGAAGCTACTGTCACTGACTTTGTAATGTACTATCGATTTCCTTGACGAAGACGAGATAGGCCTATCGCTAGGTATTGGGCATTTCGAGGCGTTGATAAGAGACACACTTCTTTCGTACATCACGGAAATGGGCTCAATGATCGACGATAGCATCCTTGAGTATCTAGGTGTCGTCGTCAAAGGCACCGCCTATCCTCCTGGTCTACCTGTCAAGGCTACCGAGGGCCCCAATCAAACCCTAGAGCACCTGAAAAAGTGCTATGTCTCCAACCAAAACAGGTGCTTCGATCAGCAGACTTGGCCAAGGAGGAGATGATGGCACGGTATACCAAGTATGATTACTACTTTCTTGAGGCCTACATCGACACTATGACAAAAGCAAGTCGCGTTGGGATCTCTAGTGGCTCAAAAGTTGTTGCCTGTCATTAACTATGGTTTAACGCCCTATCTATCATCTCCCGTGGGGCGTTCGGAAGTTGTTGCCTATGTATGACGAGATGATACTATATCGAGGCAAGGCGGGATAAGACGAAGAAGGCTCTGCTTCTGGGAAGTATCCAGAGTACATGCACAGATCATGGCGAACTATGGATTGTTCCCTGAACAAAGCTCCTCAATCGCTTTACGATGCCCCTTCCATCGTCAGTCTCACGAAACCGCAGATCATCTGTCGTCATACCTTCCCAAACCAACCTGGCACCTCCCACCCCAAACATCACGATCTAAACCCGCCCACACCAACACCAAACCAACCCACAACGATCCACGCGTCCTCGCATCCTCACTTATCACGATACCCCACTTCCAACCTCTTCATACCCCACCTGCCCAGCCAACAGAGTCCTCACGCGCCCATCAGCCATCCGGATCGAAGATCCTCATCTCCACATGTATACAACTGAAACGCGCTCACGTTACCCATACAGGAAGCCGGCGATGCTGTAGACCCGCCTTGCTTAGCATTCACGACTTTGTGAGGCTCGCTTACACAGTAGGATTTGTGATCGTCAAGAGATCTACCCGATTTAACGCGCCGTTGGTGGAGGAACCGGGACGGAAGGACAGATGAGATGTTGGGTGGTACGTCAGCTGCTTGTATCCTGATTGTACATATAAAGTAGGTCAACGAAGTCCGGGTGGCGGAAATCCAGATTGTTACGCTCGCTGTACTTTGCTCCTAACAAAATGTCACGATGGTTTGTTATTGTAGTCCGGATAGTATAGGACAGCGGGGTAACGTACCCGACGGCCACCCCTACCTACCCTGACATGATGTCGAACCTATGTAACATGTTCTCTTCCTCACAAACCTCTAAGGCCTCCTACATTGCACATGCTCAGAGTAGAGAAAGCCAAACCACACCAACCCATTTGGACCAGCCAACCAAAACATCGCGTATAGCGAAGCTAGTCGTTGAACTAACAACAAACCCGGCGCCCCGGATCTTGGATTCCAAGCTAGCCATGAGCTGAGGAAGGTAAAGCACGTTTTGTTTTGGACCGTGTTCATCAGCCCACCCGGCTCAGCTCTCAGCTCAATCTCGGCGAGATGTTTAAGGCCTTCCAGCGGTACGCGATACTCAACAAGATGCTAAAAGGACCGTTTTCCCCTCTCCCCTTCCCCCCGCTTTCCTCTTATCTTTCAATCTATCAAGGTTTGGTATATATATTGGAATCTCTCGTCAGCATTGGATTTCGGGCGTTCACGATACCGGTCCGCAATAAGAAGCACATCGATTCCTCACTCAAGGCAGAGCCAATGTTAGCCTTGCTTCCTTCGACTGAAATGTTTGTTTGGCATTCAATCTTGATTCCTCCTCTCTCAAGTTATTTCAAAAGTTTCTCCACAGCCGAATATACAAGAGATGGCTGAACCATACACATGGAAGTTCTCTCCCCTCCCCCATCCATCCAGGCCACGCTGTCCAGCGCAACCACGTTGTTTACGAGACACCCTGGTCGTCGTCGAGAGAGTTGTTGGCAAAGTTATATGAGTTTCTGTTAAAATAGGCTGAAGGTTGTTTGAAGAGATAAAAGAAAACGCAAGAGACGATAAATCGAAAAGAGAAACTCCGGGATATTTGTTGCATGTGCTAGGCTCTCGACGCGAAGCGAAAAGACGTCCAGTTTCGGATATGATGACCTGAACTTCAACCTCAAGGGCGTCGTCGACTTTGGGTGTTGAGATGGTCGACGGCCCTCTCCTCGGTGTCCAGGCTGGGTCTTCCTTCCATCGCGGAGATAGATTGCTAATAGCTGGTATATTTGGTTTGTGGTACAGAGCCGGATTGAACGGTGGAAAGATAAGAAGATGATGGAAAAAATGGCAAGAGAGAGGTCGGGACGTCGTGAAGGAGGCATGAAGGGCGAGCGCAGACGGCTTCTATTCCTCCATCCTTCCGAAAATCTCGTCGTCGTCCTCATCGATGCGGCCACGGCTGCGCGAGTTGGAGTAGCGGTAGTCCTCCTCATCGGCGAAGTGGTCGTCGTCCATGTCGACGTCCTTGCTCTCGCTGTTGTGGCGGTAGCTGTTGCGTATGCTCGACTGCTGCGCTTGGACGGTGGTGTTACCGGACAAGGTACGGGCGTTCAAGTCAAAATACTTTGCTGGTAGAGGTGGCACGGGGGGCACGTCCGGCGGGAGCGCAGTTGGTCCCGTCTTGGGAGTGCCGTAGGAGCAGCTCAACAAACCAACTGCGGCAGCAAGGTCGGCATGGTCATTGCCATCATCGTGATATGAGCCGGCAACCGAGGTACCTGACGTGGTGGGGCGGTCAGACACGTTGCTCCACTGGCGGAAGTGGCCGTTCCCGTTGTCAGAAAAGACGGTCGACTGGTAGGATTGGCTGTAGGCAGAGCTGTTGGCGGAGTAACGCTTGATGGAGCGGGTGCCAAAGTGCGAGTGAGGGTAAGAGCCTACGGCATGGTCGTCGAGTTGTGGGGGCGGGGTAGTTTCAGTGGAGCTCAACTCCTCACGCAGGTCGGACGAGCCCGAGGCCGGAGGAGACGAGCGGTCGCTGTTTTCGCCGTCGCTCTCCTTGTTCATGGCGACGAGGACAGAGGCAGCTTCGAGGAGCTGCACCTGCTGGTGCTTGGAGATGAGCAGCTTAGATGTGTATTGCCATTCAGGCGTGTGCTCCCAACTAGAAGAAAAGTCAACGCGGAACTATCATGAAGCATTGCAGTCTAAGTGTGCGTGCGAGTGAGGACAGGGCATTCGTCATGAGGCATGAAAGTATGTGGGAGGGCCATCTACGGCTTAGGGTTACTAACAGGTGCTTGGTCAGACAGCTGCTGTGCTTGTAGCCTTTCCCACATTTTTCACATCTCAGATCGCTACCACTTCGCTTGCCGTCGCCCTTGGACAGACGAGAGCCCTCGCTCGCGCGACGGTTCCGCGACTTGGAGTTGGCCTTGTCCTGCTCCAGCATCGTTGCGAGTGTCGGGCCGTCGGTCAGAGCCTCGCTCTTGGCTGCCGCCGCGCCATAACTGCTAGGACCGAAGTGCGAGCCATTGCCAGGCATACTCGATGCCATTGTTGAGTTGAGTGCCATGTTGGGTCCCCTGAACTGCGATGTCGGCTTGGATGGGCGGCGCGATCCGTTACTACTACTATCCAGGGGCGCCCCCGACATGCCCTTGGCTGCAGCCGCAATGGCCGCAACATTGGTGACGGGTGTCTGGCTCATGCTCTTCCTACGTGTTACGCGATGCGCTGGGTTCAGGTTGCCGGCGGATATCGAGTGCGAGTGTGGGCGGTTCTTGGGGAGCGAGCCGGCCATGGTGCTAGACGAGTGTCGTTGTTGGCTGGCTGGTCGGACGTTGATGGGTTCCTGGCAGGCGGCACGGTCAGCGCAACTCGGGGGGCATGCAGTTGCCGGGAAGCAGTATAGGTACCTTGAGGACAGTCATGATTGCTACAAAATAAAAAAGTCGCCGGCCTCGGTGTTTGCTTTGTCTTCCAGCTTCGTCAGCAAGGCAGCGGGAATTGTTGCACAGCCTCCGAGGTGTCGGAGGTTATAGAGCGAGATGCGGCTGAGAGACGATGCAGGGCAGCGCAGGGGCGGGCGTGTAGAAATAATAATCCAAAATGTGTGCGAGAGGCGTCTGCTAGCTGAAGAGGCGCTCGATTCAAAAATAAAGCGTGTGGACAGGTCCCGGAATGCTATTCGACAAGTGGGGTGATGCCCGAGCTCCTGATATTGAGTTACTGTGTCCAACAGAGAGTCTCGATTGCGCAGCCTCAGAAAAGCGGCCAAATATCCCAGTTTCAGACCCGATAGCGGCAGCAACTAAGGTTGGGAAGAAGGAGTGAGAGTGAGATTATTGTTGCAGCAATTGCAGACGCCAGGAACTTTTTATTATTTGGTCGCAAACATGGCACGCGGCATCTGGGGTCAGCCGGACGCTCACAGCCCACGCCCGACCAACGTGACTGATAAGTAAACCCTGGCCGCCTCTCCCCCTCAAGGTACGCGGCAATGCCGTGGCTGAAGCGACAAATGAGGCCTCCCATGCTGCCACTTTCTATAAAGGCCGCACTGGTCCGTGGAGGGACATGGGACGCAGCATCTCCCTCGCGCTCTGATTGCATGTTTCAGCGATTGCACCTCTGACTCTGGCTGCTTCTCCTGCCTCTTGTGCGCGTCGCCGTGCAGAAATCCAGGAACCCTTTGTGCGTGTTCCTGGCGCAACGCAGGTTATCGAGGGAACATTCTTAGTGCGCCATCCAGAGTGCCTCCCCGCTTCTGTGATTCGAGCATGAATTGATGTCAAGACACTTGTTCCCGCAATAGGGAACGCCGATCCCCAATACTTTGCCATGGCCGCTTGGGCCAGTCCGGTTCGGGCGGATCAAGGACACGGGGAACCGAGCGCTTGTCTGGAGAGCTGTGGCTAAGTCGAGCCGATCGATGCTGCGTCGAGCAGAGCGCGCTACACAAGAGATCATCGCCTGCCAACATGTGTTTGCGCCATCCACACTCTCTCGTAACATCTGCATAGCGTTGAGCAGTTCTGCCATGCTACGGCAAAAATATTGTCAGACTCCACTCGAGCCCTCCTCATCGCCCTCGGATAACGAGACGTGCGCTTGGCGTCATCGCGATCGGTCGCACACACGGCGTCTGTGCTGCACATTATCGCGCAAGCCACCACCCTGTCGTCTTGTTCGCTGCTGTGGGGTCGCTACATGTTGAGTGGTGCGGCACCTGCACCACACAGTGAAAGACACATGACAAGCTGCCAGCCGTACAAAAAAAAACCGCGTGCTCCTGCAGAGCATGGCTGGACCATCCTGTCGTCCAACAAGTGCTGGGATCGGCCAAGATCAACAGGCCGAGATCGTGGCCTGTCGCAGGGATGGATAGAGTGCCATGATGACGGATAGCCGCTTGTAATGGCATTGTTGGTTGTCTTCGGAGTCCGGGCAGCAGAATGCCATACACGTGTGTTATCCACTTGTCGGTGTAGCCTACCAGCACCAATAACAACCTACGGCAGACCAGCCGTTTGGCAGAACGCTATCGAGTCTGCGTCTTTGGAATTGTGTAAGTTGAGCTTGTGTAAGACGTTCCGGTGGTTTGTTTATGCCTATGCAGGTGCTTGAGGGGTCAATTCGCGCCTGCCGATTCGGGAGTCCCGTAGCCTTGGAATAGCTTCATTGGCAGATTGCGCGCCTTAGCTGAGGGGTCCACGACGCCACCATCTGCATTCCCTCAGATTACCGTGTCCATAATTGCGACATAGAAAATTCCATCTTACACGTTGATCTTAACTGCAACTTTTCGACCTGCCGAGTAACAGTTTCCGGTGTCTGTATGTAAAGTTATCTCTCAGTGAGGAGAATGGTCCACATCGGCATAAACCTCCGCATCAACCAGGATTGAGCTTGTCTATTTCACGTGTCAAGACTTAGCCTCACCATTCCTTGGAACAGATCCGCACAGCCCACTCTCACCGTCGTGGGCGAGTTCCGTCGAAAACCAAGTAGGTTTCAAATCGGTAGTATGACGTCAGGCATTACTTGATCACAAAAAAAAAAGTTAAGTTGCTGCGTCGTAGGATGAGGCCTTGCAGATGCCTGCGGAGATACCTCTATAGCCGTATACCGGATGACAACGGCTGTCGTGATTTCTCGCACGAGATACGTAACAGGGCTGGTGGGTATGCTTGCGTATTTTTTGTCTTTTGCATAGCTGTGCATCGATAAGAAGGACAGGCGGTCAGGGTGTTAGTTGCTGCGAGTACAAGCAGTTGCACCCAAAAGCTATGCACGTTCCACACCACATAATTGCTCACTGTACAGCAATCTGAACAGTTTTCGTTCACCACCTTGCAGAGTTGACATTGTTGAGCGCGAGTGCACTCAAAGTCATAATGCATCTCGCATAGCAATGGATGTTATGCGAACCCTCCACGAGCAAGATATCGCCGAGACGTAAAAGCAACTGTTTTCCTTTTGATGCCTTGGGAACGAGTGCTGGTGGAAGCACAATGTCGGTATGTAAGACAACAGAGGTAGGATGTATCGGAATGCTTTTGGATGCCAAAGGCGTTCCGATCTTAGTAATCTGGTCACGTGCACGTGTTCGTCACTGCTCTCAGCCATGTACAAACCATCTGCCTGCAGCATCGCAACCGCACCATCACATCGTAAACAAAAGTCGCGCGTTACTTTGTACATCTGAGGAACCTCATCTGCCACCACATACCCTGCAAAACCCGAATCACATCCCTCGCACGACTTCGCCATGGCGGACGCTTCCGCGCAACCCAAGCCCAGCAGCAGCGTCAAGCTCGTGCTGCTAGGAGAAGCAGCTGTCGGAAAGGTATGGAGAATTGGAAGATAGTTGCGACTACCAGCTAACCATCTTCTAGTCTTCTCTCGTTATGCGCTTCGTCAACAACGACTTCCAAGAGAACAAGGAGCCTACTATCGGAGGTACGTACACAGCCACGCCAGACGATATCAATCCAGCAACCACCCACTTAATATCTCGCCAAGTTAATACTAACAAGCCGCTCAATAGCCGCATTCCTGACGCAGAAATGCAACCTACCAACCCGAACCATCAAGTTTGAGATCTGGGATACCGCAGGCCAAGAACGCTTCGCCTCGCTCGCGCCCATGTACTACCGCAACGCCCAAGCCGCCCTCGTCGTCTACGACATCACAAAGCCCTCTTCTCTCACAAAAGCCCAGCATTGGGTCGCCGAACTGCACCGTCAAGCCTCCCCAGGCATCGTTATCGCACTCGTAGGAAACAAGTTCGATTTGGCCACCGCCGCCGAAGAAGAGAACGCCGAAGACGCAGATGCTACCCCCGCAGCTGAGGGCGAAGAGGAGCCAACAGAAGACGGAGTCAGCTCGAGGAGAGTACCAAGTAAGACTGCAAAGGCATACGCAGATGAGGAGAGCTTGTTGTTCTTCGAGACTAGTGCGAAGACAGGGCATAACGTTGCCGAGGTATTTACTGCTATCGCAAATGCCATTCCGGAGACGAGCTTGAAGGGCCCTCGTGGTGTTGGGGGACAAACAAACTTGAACAGGCAGGAGGAGGCGCGTGTAAATCTAGGCAGTGCGCGGACGGAGGGTCCCAAAGAGGGTTGCGCATGCTGATGAGTTGCATACAGGGTACGTCGTGGTGTATGTATGTGGCCATACTCTATGCGATGCAGGAGCTCGATAGCTACGACGGTATGCAGCCCCTACTGATGAGTTCAACTCAGGGTTATCAATATTAGGCGTTGGATGGAACGATGAAGTTGTACATTGTCGTCAATACCATTGCTTCTACACTACGTGAGTCATTTGTTATGCTACAAGAAGCGTACCGGACAGTTTCCTATACGAGGTCAGTCGTACTCTCTTCTTGTCGGCCTCAACCTAGAGCAAGAAGCAGTCGTCAAGCAAACAGTCTACCATATAGTCTCTCACCCATGCTGCAAATACCGAGTCTGAATATAAGACTCGCTTGGTTCAACTACGATAGGATAAATCTCTCTGTCCAGGACGTCCATTTCGGGTTGGCCTACCTTGAACGATTACCCAAGAGCCTGCAAAAGGTCACTTTCCATGTCGATGAACAAGTTTTCTGCCGCTTTTACAGACGTAAAACTAGCATTCTACAGACAGAGCAATTTGTCAAAGGCGAACTGAGGCGTATCGGAATGACTTTTGTGAGCGATCCTGGAGCGTTATCTATGGAGTCGATGTTATGTAGTGCTCATGGACTGGAAGCAGAGCCATGCTCAATTACCTCCGATCACCAGTTCATGTGAATCCTCACGGTGACCGCTGCTGCTTACGGACGGGCGAATAACTTTGAAATCCAGTAAGGATTATACGGCAAGATATGCAGTTGGCAGCAGCGTCCTGTCTCTTTCCAAGAGAGGCTTCAAGTATCCTAGCTCAATAGGAATAGGAGACTGATTAGCATGGCCATCGCCTTAGTTTCTCATGGCTTGCCAGATACATGCTTCTTACTGCACGGTGTATTTGTTTAGGGTGTTTTCAAATGCTAGACGTGGTTGAGACTAGGTATTTCCTTCAGTACCAGTAGCACAAATAACCTCGAGCCAATGTGACCGAAGTTGTAGATCATTTACAGTAGATTAATGCCAAGAGACAAGATTGGAGGTAAATGTTGAGCCCATGGTTATCGATTCTGATCGGACGCAGGTGCGTTCATGTTGTTGATGAACTTAGCGCATCCAATCACTGCGGGGTCACCACGCAAAAGTTGGTCCTCGCACTAACGTTCTGCGCCTACTTTACCAATCCATCATCCCCAAGGCTGCCATCTTTGACTCATTGGGCATCACTTCGACTCAGAACTCCACAGATACTCCTCTAAAGCTTTGAAATCCTGTTCAAAGATTTCCTTTCCCAAAAATTTCGCGACTATTCACTAGATCGCTCAAAGATATGGCAAGAGGTGGTCGAGGCGGCGGTAGTCGCAATCCAGCCAACCAACCGAGAGAAGTGCAGGTCTCGAGGAAAGTTAGTTGGTTATTGAGACATGGTGCGGGTCAGGAGGGCTTGAAGTTGGGAAAGGGTGGTTATGTTAATGTCCAGGAAGCGGTAAGTCTGTTCCCAATCAACGCCCGGCGACGTTGGATATATGCTTAACATAAAGACATGACTTATCATATACATCAAGGTTTCGAATGATTTTATGAGTTCATGGCTTAAACCACACGACGAGCTAACGTTTTCAGCTAAACACCAAAACTCTGAAGAGCTTAAAAGTCACATTTCCTGAACTGCGCAACATAGTCGCCAATAACGACAAACAACGCTACTCCATGATTCCAGCATCCTCACTCGACCAAGAGATACGTGGAACCACAGAGCTATCTCAAGAGCAACCAAACTCAGAATCATTGGAAACTGTACCAGAATCAGACGACCCAGCCGACTACCTGATACGCGCGAACCAAGGCCACTCCATCAAAGTCGATTCAGAAGGCCTTCTCGTCCCCATTACCCAAGAAGCAGGCAATGTTCCCGAAACCGTTGTTCACGGCACCGACGAGCGCGCCTGGAATCTCATCCTAAAGAGCGGCGGTCTGCGGCGCATGGGACGGAACCACATTCACTTCGCATCTGGTCTCCCGGCAGGTTTCAAAGCACTTGACTCTTCCACTGATCCTACTGCCGAAGAAAAAGAGTCTGCGCCAGTCATCTCAGGTATGCGCAAGAACTCGTCGATTCTGATTTATATCGATATCAACGCTGCTCTTACTGCCGGCATCAAGTTTTTCGTCTCGGACAACGGTGTTATACTCACCGAGGGTAATGAGCAAGGCTTCCTTTCGTATGAATTCTTCAAGCGCGTCGAAAGTAGGAAGAAGGATGGTGGTGTACTGATGAGTGATGGGAAGTTACCTGAAGGCGTGATTGTGGATATTGAAGAGTGGGAGAAAGAGGTTGGTGATGTGCAGAAGGGGAAGCGGGGTGGCAGGGGTAATAGAGGTGGTAGAGGTAGAGGACGGGGCGGAGGCGCAAGTGGCCAAAAGAGTGGGATGAATGACGCAGGAATTGCGGCGGCTGATGCTTAAGAAATTATGAGGGTGTTGTAGAAGGTGATATGAGCACCAGTTGTTGCCGCAATCAACAATCAACAACAGAATATGGACTCCTCGCTGGCATGTCGAGTACAAGCCGCCATCCGTGCTGATTTGTGGATCCATAAGTGATTTATGACACAGGGTCCGCTGGATGAGGTCAGTTCCTGTGATAGTAGTTAATACCAGTGGATATCGCTTCTGGAAATCCTTCGCACAGACTTGGAGAGTATTTGAACTTGAATTATGGTTGATTTCTTCGGCCGTTAAAGAGATTATAGTATGCGCGAGAGGTATATAACAGAATGCCGCCCAGTAGACCGAAACTCCAATGTAGACCCAGATAAAAGGAAAAGAAACCTAGAAAACGTTCTTGCGTTGTGACTTTTGACTCCAGCCACTCAAACGGCTGGTTCTCTTGTTCTGCTTCTCCACATCGATGTTCGCATCCTGTGCTACATCAAAGTAATCCTTTGCAGTAATACCCTCATTCTCCAGCAGAGGGCTACTTGGCCTTGTCTGGCTGACATGATGAGTGGGGGCGTGGTGAAGACCAGGAGAGTGGACATCCTCAGGTTCGGTAACGATCGCATAGGAAGCACTTCCAACATCGATGGCATCAGGGGACAAGGGCCTACCCTCGTCACCCTCGTCCATGCTGGCGCGGGACCGTGTGCCAATAGTGCGCACAGTCATTCGTCGACCAAGACCGCACTCCGGGCCAGCCTTCTCTTCCTCAAGGCGAATGACAACCTCGACAGCCTTGTCATCTTCAATGACCTTGGGGTGACGCTTGGCGAAGTATTTGGCGTACTTGTACAGCGACCAGTAGCAGCTTGCGACATTGATAAAGGTCAAGACGATCTTGTACGGTAGGTAGTAGATGTACATGAGCTGCCAGCCAACGCGCTCGTTCTTGCGGCGGAGGTGCACTTCGTTGAAGATGATGACGTTGATGAGGTACATAACGATTGTGGCGGCGAGAAGGTAACCGCAGAACGAGGGGCGGACATAGAACGAGATAGGTAGGATGAAAGGTGTGAGAAGGTAGAGCAGAGTTTCGTAGACCTAGTGTGTTGTTAGTATGTTGGATGAGCGAAATAGACTGCGGATTGCTTACCTCTTGGAAGACGAAGATCTTTGCACCAATTTCCCACCAACCGAGCTTCCAGCTACCAAGAATGTATGCCATGTTGTACCACATGCCGTTGACGAAGAAGAAGTTCCAACGCTTGAAACGTTGCGAGAAAATGGTCATCTCGCCGAAACCACCACGGGAACCACCGCCAGAAATAAAAACAGCGGTAGGTGTTTCGGTTTCAACAAAGACTTGCGAGCACATCTTGATGCGACATCCGAGCTTGCGGGCTACATGACCAAAGAACCAGTCTTCGGACACACTGAAGCCGGGGTGTTCGTGAAAGGTCTTGACAAGTAGCTCACGGTCCCAGAGGGAAATAGCTCCGTGTGGGAAGGTGGCGGAGCCGACCTTACCGGCAAACTCACGCTGAATACCACTGAGCTTGTACTCGAGATCCTGAGCTTGTTGGCAGAGGTTTCCCTTTGTAGAGTTTGGCCCGACGGATTTGATGGTGTAGCCAATGCACATAACCTTGCCATTCAAGCGCTCAGTGACGACAGGGAAGTTGTCAGGCAGCGCACAGTCATCGTCAATGAGCAAAACGTTCTTGAAATTCTTCGCAGCATAACAACCAACAAATTGAGCAACGATCTTCGATCCGATTGGCGACCAGATATGATTCACGCCGTAAGGACGGCAGACCTCTTCCGTATTGTCGAGTGGCGTCGGGCTGTTTCCGTTGGCGATGACGAATATGTTCGATGGAGGGAAGATCTTCAGGGCAGCTTCGAGTGTGTTGGCAATGAGTCCAGCGGACTTGTAGCACGGGATCATGAGGCAGCAATCGTCAACGTTGGAATGGAATTTGGTCTCTGTAGAGAAGTCGGCGGGAGGTGGATCCTTCTCGAAAAGGATGAGTAAAGGAGCGAACGCATAACTAAGGTATGTTAGTCACTGGAAAAATGGCGAGGATGCTCTGGCAAACTTACAATAGTGCGACTCCAAGCACGATACCGAAACCACCAGCGATAACGAACTTGGTGGATACAACCCAGTAAAGCCACCACACAGCACCTTTCCATAGAGGAATTCCGATTAAGACAAAATAGACGAAGAGTATCAGGAAAGCATAGATGGTGTACTCAAAGGTGATTTGCACCCACTTCTTTCGTTGAATCTCTGCTCCCTTCTTCTTCGCCTTCTGGTAGGTGTCAAACATCTCACTCCTTTTGAAGTAGGATGCATTGGTCATGCTCCGCTTGAGAGCGTCGGGTACCATACCATCTACAACAGACTGTAGAGTGTTCTTTCGGGGGCGACCCGCGTGATGTGCGGCTTCAGGCTCCTGAGGCAAGGAATCTGTAGAGTTTCGGACCGAGTTGTTTTCAGTCGCAAAAGGGTTGTCTCTGCTGCTTCTGACTGAGTTGGGTTTCGTCGCGAAGGGGTCGTCATTGGACCATTTTGACTTTGTAGACGCGGTAGGAACTCTATTGAGTGAACTTGGTGATGGTGCACGACTTCCTCGAGGGCTCAGAGCTAGAACATCGGTTGACCCAGGGATGTAGGAAAGGGTCCGGAAGGGTCTTAGGTTCTCCTCAGTTGGTGATGGTAGTGCCCCGCTCTGTTGCGAGTTTCTCTTTGCACCACTGTTGCTGAACCAGGAGAACCGGTTACTCCTCCTTCGTTCGCCATGCGTTTCTGTGCGTTCAAGGTTGGTAGAGCGTTGAGTACCGTTCCGTTGTAGACCGCCAGAGTCTTGTGTGGGACGACGACGGATGCTTCCAATTCGTTCAGAGTCGAGGAAAGGGTTCTCCGCTTGTGGTTCCCAGGCTCCTGTATGTGTAGTATGCGTGTTGTCGCGTTTTGATCCAAGAGTACCCGTGGCCCGAAGCAGATGTGCTGGAACGGTAACATCCTGAGTGGGGATGATCTCACTGGAACGTCGACGATGGTCTGCCATGTAGTGTGTCTCGTGAGTGCCGGAAGGAAGACCAGAAGGAGAAGTCATGATGGGCGGTTGTTAACCCGAATGAGGGAGACTCCTGGGGTAGTTATGTGTGTAAAATACTGGACAGGGTGTACCCCATTAATACTCGGGAGCCAGTCTCCAGACCTGGTAGGACTTCTCTCTAGCCGGATAGTCGGACAGCCACATCGAGCGATCCGACTATGAAATCTCCTATGTGCCATTATCGGATCCACCTAGTAGTCTGTGGGTACACCCCCGGGTGTCGATCATCATGGAGTGCGACATGCACGTGTAGGAAGCATGTTGAGTATTGCGCCACAGACGTGGTCTATAGTGACGTCTAGGTCGAAGGCTAGATCTGGAAACTTCCCACGCCACTGAATCGCAACGGAGCTTCAGATACTAGTTCCCGTCGAGATTTAGCTCCAGGAATGATTTGCGTTTTCACCCTGTTCGGAGGACGGCGTCCAGAGTCTGAGGTGGTAGATCTTTGGTTGTGTTGCATCACTACGGCGTTTGGCGATATGAGCTGAAGAGTTGTCCAGAGCCCATGGCCCCTTAGGCATCTAGAAGCAAGATATTCGCATTCGTATATGTGTTGCCAAACGTGCAGTCTGAAATCTATTAGCTAGTTTTCATAGCGTTACCCTTGCAAGTCTCTTCACGTACTTGCATGGGCACAGAGCAACTGACAGATTGGACCTCTGCCACCATCGCTGACAGATCCACAGTCCGTGTGATGCCAGCGCCTGAGCTATTTCAGTGGGTACCACTACTCTGAACGGTCACTAAACGGGTCTTGGGCTTGACAAGTATCTCCGGAGTAGTTCGAGACGTAGCCTGAGGCTGTGGCTGAGAACTACCAAGTGGACAGGGTTCCGACTTCTGATGTACATCGAGTCATCATAACTCGCATCAAGAAACAGTTGTAATCTCGATACCGCTGTCCCGCGCAAAGACATCATAGGCGTTGTGATCTACGGTAGTTGCGATCGAAGTTCAAACCTCAGATTCTAAGTCGGACGCATGCATCCTGAATCTGTCCGGAAGCAGCGTCCGAAGAGATTTTTCATCTCGTTTTCGGTGAGTTGGACTCCTTTGGGTCCACGGTATTAACCGTGATGACAACACATCCATGCCTCGGTGAAAGCTTCGCTGCGCTTGCGCAGGTACTCCGGGTGTTGTTGAGGCCGCGACCGTGGCCGAGGACAAAGTAGGCGAGAAGACATGGTAACCTTGCAGAACGATCTCAAGGGTGCTTTACTATTACGCAACTGCGCGGGACTTCGCGCTGGAAGTCGGCGTCTCTTTTGAACGGTTGGCGCTACTATAGTGTAAGACGTCGGTGCCGCTCGGGTACCTAAGCCTGAAGGTGTTCAAGGCTGACGCTGTTATGATGACAGTAACCCTTGCCAAGGCGATGATGAAGTCAGTTACACAAGATTTCTATCATGAACTTTGAAGCTGGTAAACTGACGTGAGTCGCACGAATGAGTGTATGTGGAGAACAACTGGATGTCGAAGTTGGAAATTGCAGAACGCCGTTCCCGCCCGGCCCGCCGCCGGGAGGCGCTTGTCATTCGTTACGTCAGGCACGCAATACGAGGTTTAGAAAGCAAGCCTTCGCTGGACGTTTGACGAGCCGCAACAATAGACACCCTCAATCTATGATCCCACACATCACTAATCGAACACGAAATGACTTCCTACGTGTCTCAATACCCGCCGGCTGTTGAGTTTGACCCTGCATACAAGAAATTCTTCGAGGATTTCTACGCTACGTCCGATACGGCTGAAGCGCATGAGAAATACGTCGATTACTTCACTAAGGATGCGACGCTCGTCATGGCCTCGAAGAGGGTAGCGGGCCGAGAAGGTTTGTCTCAGTTGCTTTTTCCATCCAGTCCTGAGGTTCAATCTGCGCCTTGACGTTTCAATCCCCTTATACCCTTTGCGAGGCTGATTCTTGGCTGCAGAGATTCTGTCCATGCGCAAAGCCATGTGGGAAAAGATTTCTAGCAGGGCGCACAAGCCACTCCAGATATTTCCGTTCGGTCCGAACGCAGACGAGGTGATGCTATATGGAACGGTCAAGTACGGCTTCAAAGCAGGGGGTGAGTCTAGCAAAGACTGGGCTGCAAGGGCGCACCTAGTCAAAGAAAAAGATGGCAAAGTGAAGATGGATTTTTATCAAGTCTACTTGGTGCGACACCCAGCACTCGTCCGCGTTCGTGTATGCGGATTGAAGCTAACATTCGTCTTAGGACACCGGAGCTTAGACCGAGCCCGTAGATCTTATGTAGATCTAATGCCAACTATAGGGGCTTCTACGGCATCTATAGTGTTGGAAACATTCGTCATACCGGAGGCCCCATACTTTGTGAAAACTGTCTCGGTGCTTACAGTGGTACGCACCTAAATGGTGCAAAGTCCAAGGGGCGCCTCATCTCTGAACATGAGGCTATGCAAGTACCGGGTCCACGATGCTCTGAAACACTCGTTGTGGAACTGCACGAACTCTACTTTGGAGTAGTGAGTCGAACTGTAGATTGACGTGTAGGACTAATCCTTTCCGCTCGGATGTGACGGCTGTCATGGGATGGACGACTCATCCTTGTAGCTCATTGGGAACTGTCATATAACCCAAGAGTCCTACGTGTGACTGTCGTGAGTCCCTTGTGGTTGTCCCGTTCTCAGTTCATCTTAGCGACATCATGCAAACATCTCGATCGCCATCGTTAGCTAGGGTCCAAGGAGGATAAACATTGCTTTTCCTTCAACGTGGCGTTTTCTCCGCGATATTCCAGTTCTTCGCTGCAGGAACTGTCCTAGGGTCTTTGTCACGGAGTTTAAAAAGTTGTTTTTCCTCTTCAGCTCCCGATTTCCAGCGAAGTGGTCTAGACGCGGAGACAAGCCTCCGTCACGTCTACGTAAACGTGGTTCAGAAGGATTGGGACCGATGTTGTGTCGGCGTCGCAGCGGCATGCCGGACCATATGCTACCAATGCTGCCAGGTACGCGGGTTAACGGGTTCTGCTGCGCCAGCGCTATACGATGGCCTCAAAGATTCCAGCGCGAGGCGCAAGCAGGGTACGTGGCCACCTCGTTTGGCGCATCCAGGCCTCGTATACTTCTTCCAACGCCGCAAACTTGATCCAGGCTGTGTCTGTAACGACAGGTTTGCGAACCCCGCAACGCCGCCGAAGTGGATTGACCCCATCTCAGCCGTCGTATACTGAAATACAAATCGCCCGATTGTCCAATCGAGGGTGCCCAGGTGATTTCCTTTGGCTACGCGGCCTACATGATGATTGCTGCAACGCAGAGTGACTTCAAATTGATCAGTGTCCCAAAACCGCAACGCAAGGGAGGTGATGTAATACGAATTCTTGCATCACCTGTACCAACCGTCCCATCCCTCACCAATGTCTTCGCGATCGAGTGGTGACCCTGCTGACGTGATATTTTGGGGATGGCATCATTGATCGTGCTGGTCGGGTCGCTAAAAGTATAGGGTCCGCGGGCGTCTTGGGCCCGAAGTTCCCCCAGCAGCAGCAGCAGCAGCAGCAGCAGCAGCAAGGGATATTGTCAGGGAACACTGATGTAAGCGACGTAATACGCGATGTATATGGGCAATAAGGAAGGGCAGGTCAAGCGCATTCGTTCAAACTGCCGAGCATTGAATTCCAACCATGATGTGTGGATTTGCAGATTTTTGAAGTTGGGGTTGTCGGATGAATGTTCAGATCCCACGGCCATGTGCGGCCACCAACATTAGCCCCGCACGACCGGAAAGATGATTCTTGAAGAGCACATTGCTTGAAAGATGTGACGCTTTAGGATATATGTTAATTGTTTTATCGTCCTTCCATCAACAGGCTCAAAACCAGCCCGGCTAGCTCAATCGGTAGAGCGTGAGACTCTTAGTCTTTCACGGTCTAATAGACACGATTACTCAGTAAATCTCAAGGTTGTGGGTTCGACCCCCACGTCGGGCTTGAGAAGCTTTCGTTTTTGTTGTCGCGTTGTACATGTGTATGGGGTGGTCGTCTTGGTGGTGGATGATGGATGAAGGGTTTTGGCAGTGCCCTGCTTACCACGGTCGCATGTCTCGCCTAATGACATTCCCGAATCTACATTATTTTCACAGTCAACGGCTTCTCAGTTATCCCACAGCCCAGGGTTGTCGTATTGCATGATATTTTTTGTGTCCACGCCGGGATCTTAGCCTTGGATCCTATGTCCACCAGAGATGTGCCAACAACTCACTATACAGCGCACAGTTTTTGCTAAGCAGATAGCTATAAATGGCACCATTACTTCGAAAATTGGTCCTTCGAAATCTGCATAAGATTGTCCCTCTCCAAAACCCCGGCGCCATCTTACAAACCTGAACTACGAAAAGTCTGGCTTTATTCAATATGATCTAGAAAACAACTCTTCCTTCACCAAACCGAAGTACTATATATATTTCCAAAGGCGTCTTTGCAGCCTGCACAATCGCACTGGTCTGTTACGACTGAAAAGAACAAATCGAAAAATGTTAGAACACACCTACACAACCAATCTCATCATTAATCCCTTTGAACACCAATATCACACGAAAGCCAAACATCAGTGAGTACGTCGGCACCTTCGTAGAACACCTTGTAAGCCTCGAATATATACACACCAAAGCCTCATCATCCCATCACCCTATGACCTGTTTCCCTCATTGTTCTCATTCCGCTCTCCACCACCACTTATGGTAAACAACTCCTATCATCCTTCTCGCCCACCAGCACAGGAATCGTCAACATTTCACCTGCAAGTATCAGATTTGGATCCTGAATTGCATTCGCCTTGGCGATATCGCAGATGCCCACTCCATTCGCGGCAGCAATGATTTCAAGCGTATCACCCGGGTTAATAGTAACTTGTTTTCCTGTCCCTGCATCTGCGGAGGTAGATGGGGTTGCTGGTGAAGGAGCCGATGCTGAAGCTGGAGCGGATGAAGCGGGTGGGGATGCCGAGCTGATCGAGGTTGGTAAAGCGATTAATATGTGGGTTTTCAGTTGATGTATGGTACTAGAGTAGGACCTGCCAGAGTGATCAACGATTTGATGTATTATACTCCTCCTCACTCTTGAATAATGATCAATTCTTGTGAAGCTGTCAGATGCTTACCGGAAACGCGCATGGTATATGTAGACCCTCCACAGCCTCAGGCAGGAAACATTCATGTTCGGAAACGTGGACGAACGCGTTGTTCATCGACGCGGCACTTTCTTCCAGAACGATGGAATGCCTGCCTTCCGTCAATGCTAGAGTCCTGACATTTCGCTGAAGTGGTCTTGTCTGAACGTTTTCTGTCACAGGTCGTTCGTGCTTGGCTGTCATTGTTTCAAAAACCAGGTCGTCTTCGATCCTATGGTGGCCTTTGTGTTTATTCACTGGCACAGTACAGCAAGTTACTGGGACGTTGGTGATTTCGTGTACTGCATCGGCAAAAGGCATCCATTGCAAGGTCGATGCTGTGAAGACCAATGTGTGATGATACGTGACAGCCGCGTTGACTATGCGGACATGTGCTAATAAGTGAAGCGAGGTGCGAAGATCTGACATGTAACAGCTGTCAATTGTCAGAAGAAGCGGCAAGCCACGCATAGCAAGACGTTGTTGGGTATCTGGCGCTGGTATAAAATCGTATCGGAACGAGGAGAGTGAAGGAGCGAAATTGTATGTGTATGTTCTGCAATTAGAATATGCTATAAGGCTAAGATACTGTACAGCGCAAGGACGAAACTACGCTCGCTAAGATGATGTGATAAACAAACGCTGGCCAAGTGACTCTGAATGAGGTCATTTACTTACAACAAAAAGATTAAAGGGTGATAATCTGAACACAAAAAATAGACCTTCAAGCGCCCAGCGCAATAAGCCTGCTCTTGATATCCGTGGGCCTCATCATCTGGTTGATGACGACACTAGAGATACTGCCCATACTGACGACCGACACGTATCCTGGGGCAACTTCGCTTGCTAAAACTTCCACACACTTCATCGCCTCTTCCTTTGAGATTGGAGATCGAATAGAGCCCTGTATCGCCTGCAAAAGGGTGGTTGTCGAGAACGAAACGCGCGATCCGGGTCTGTTCGCGCAGAGTAGAGAGAGCACACCAATGACTTCTGGAGTGCGCTGGAGTGCTGCTTTTCTCTGAAGTTCAGCGGGTGTTGGTGCTGCGGGGCCAGCCTTTGCAGCCTCCTGCTTGGCAAGAATACGGTCGAGGAGGTTGGTTTTGCGAACGGCAGCAAAATCAGTAATCTTGGGCTGAGCGGGTTGGGCTTGCTGGTTCTGTCCCAAGGAAGTCTCGTTCTCCTTTCCGATGGTGGACCTTGTCTTCTTTAGCGCACGACCTTGCTGTACGCTCTCCTTGAACTCCCGCAACCTCTTGCGTCCCTTCTCTTGTGCTGGTGCAAGCGCGGTGAGCGACTCGCATGTGGTGACTTGGGCGAGAGGAAGCTGGCTAAGGAACTTGGACACGGAGGTGTCATCGAGGAATGTGTCCATGCATGCTTGCTTGATGTCGACCTTCTTCGGGCGTCCGCGTCCGCGCTTGGGCACCGCAATTGGCCGGGCCATCATCATCTGCGACGTGCACCATTGCGACCACAACGTGTCTAATCCTTCCTTGAACATTTCTTGCAGCCCTTGTTCATTCACATGTGTCATGCCATTCATCATGGGACTGTTGTCCTTGATTTCAATGCAGATTTTGCCGCGGCCGTAGTCGGATAGGTAGTAAGGGTTGTTGGTGCCGGAGGGACCGTGATCGAGAATACCAAGGAGGAGTCGAATGTCATCGTACGTGACCTTGCGTTGCCGCCAGACTAAAGTGGTCGATGCAATCAAGTCTCGAAGATCGGCAGGTGTCGAAGTGCCATTGTGGGCATAATGCAGCGACAGCGCCGTTAGGAATGATGAGTGTAGTGCGAGAAGGTTGACAAGCTCGGCCGGGAGCTGACCGGGAGCAATAGGCGACATTGTTGTTGAAGATGTTTCTGATTGATACAAGGACGAGATATCTGGAACAATATCGATAAGTGATGTGTCGTGTGGGTGAGAGGGTGAGGTTCAAAGGAGTGTTTATGAGCCGAGGGGGGTGCAAAACAGGGAAGGGAAGGCACGTCCGACGCGCTTTACGCTTCTGCGCGTTCGCGTCGCGTTTTCGCCCCACTTAACTGAAACTCGAGCGTGTCGTTGCCCCACGCATCCGCTATGTCCCCACCACTCATTACGCTTTCGTCATCTCGACATCTCTCTGCGAAATTTGTCCACCCACAAACAACGACTTCGCGCCTTGTCACGATGCCGTCCAAGCTTCGCACGCTAACGACAGAGACGTGACTTGTAAGAGAGCGAACATGAGTATCATATCTTATTGAGATAAAAAGCCCTGCGCCTATATACTCCGATGCCATGCAAGACTTTCGACAACAAGCTTCGGCTCATCTTGTTACATTATCATTACATTACTGGTCCTGTACACTTCGAGCTTACTTTCCACCAAACAGTCCGCCGAACCATGACGACGTCTTCGCGGCCTTGTCCTCGACAACGGCATCGAACTTGTTGGCAGCAGCGTTGACCTGCTTGCCTGCTGCGTGTAGCTCACGCTCGGCGCGGGCCTTTGCCTCTTCATACTGCTTCTTCGCATCGGCGCTGTAGGCGTCAAACTTTTGCTCGGCCTTCTTTGCTTCCGCCTTGGCTTGGTCGGCCTAACCATGGTCAGTATACTGCCACAAGTAACATGGATGGAATCGCATTGAACATACGTATTGCTGTGCGCTGGCGCGGACTGCCTCGTAGCCCTCCTCGCCGGCCTTCTTTGCTTCCTTGTCCTGGCCAGGGTAATCGCCTCTTAGCTTGCGTGCAGCAGTCGCAGCATCGTCTGCAGCTGTTAGTTGATAAGCCAGGCAGTCGACCTCTCCAGGACTTACGCTCAGCCTTCTTCTCGGCAAGCTTCGGGTCACCTCCAGCATTGTAGAGGTAGTAGGTCACGCCACCAAGAGCAGCGACACCACCGTATGTAGCGAAACGACGAGACATTGTTGATGGGATGGGGGGTTTGTGGTGTTGGTTGGTTGGACTTGAAGAATGATCAAGCTATGTAAAAAGCGAATTGAAGATGAAGAAAGCAGAGTTGTGCGAGAGAGGGGAACCTTGGAAGGCGTCTTTCTAACAAGCGCATGTGTGACGTAATGGCAGACAGCTGAAGCACGGGCTTTTCGCTGCCGTGCGAACCAGATCGCCAAACTAGCTGACTCTACGATGAATGACAGGCCGGATCCACATCACACACACTCGTTGTTCTTGCTTCTATACACTAATTGTAATCTCGTTGTAGCATTAATCTTATTTGTATAGTTGTCGCATTGCGGTCGCGTCGTCCAAGCGTGTAGTCCTCTGTGCGCACCCCTTAACAGCCACCCTCCAGCGACTGCCGACCACCTGTGCAGCGTGCCGCGCCTGCCTAACCACGACCTCATGTATCTACGATAGCCACGGCGTTCGCCTCTTGCTTTCCTTGATTCTTACACCACGCTCGGCAGCATGGCGGACCAAACGATAAGCCTCGTCGACCACACGTCCAACGGCGACAACACGCCTACTACGGCTGCACAACCTGAACAGCCATCGACCTCATCAGACTCGCACATCGATATCCTCTATGAGAACCAGCGCGGTTGGTTCATATTCGGCATACCGCTATTCTCGAACAAGGCGCTGTGGAACCTACGAATCGACCCTGCGCCCTGGCAGGATGCCAAGTTCAGGCCATCTGCCGTCAATATCACAAATGCACAAGTTCCAGATCCAAGTTGGGTATGGGACTGGAAGAGCTGGTATGTCGACATGAGTCTGGATGTCGATGAAGAGGGTTGGCAGTACAGTCTGCTGTTCAAAGGCTCAGCCTGGCACGGCAACCACCCTTGGTTCCACAGCTTCGTTCGGCGGCGACGCTGGCTACGGAGACGGGTGAAGCAGAGGCTACCACCCAAGACCAAGGAGAACGCAAAGGAACGCATGTTTGGCGAAACCTTCAGCATCGGCACTACATTGGTCAGGTCGACGACCTTTGGTACCAACAGCGGCTTGCTAGACAGTGCTCAGACAAGTCTGGACGAGGAAATCAGGGATATTGCCACACTCATGAGGAAATTGAAGAAAGCTGCTATCGACCGAGAGAAGATAATTTACATACACAAATTCATCGACGATGGGGGCGAGGAACTGCACTACCTTGCAGGACAGGTATGCATATGGCATCCCTATACCTCCAACATAACTAACATGCCCAGATGCCGTCCATCATGTCGATGCTTATCTTCCAGAATTCCCGTCGCCAACTCCTCTCCACACTTATGGACCGCTTCGAAGCCGCTAAAGACCACCGTGAACAGCACAAGAAAGACTCGAAGCCGGAAGGGGAAGCCGAAGAACGCAGGATCAATAACCTACTCAAGGCCATCGAGGCAGCTGATAACGAGTGCAAGAAGCTCGAGTACTGGAGCGACATCAAGAATCTTACCGAGGAGGGCAAAGCGGGTAATGCGACAGATCCCAGTATGGGATGGGATGAGGAGAAGTGGCAGGGTCTTGATGCTAGCGGCGCCAAGCATCCCGAGACTTGAAATTTGAAATGTCACGAAGGTTTGGATGCATGCATATATTGGAGTTTATCGGAGCTTATCGGAGTCTGTTGAGGACGTGGTTCTCTCAAGGTCAGCATATCGGGCCAGTTGGAACGACTAAACGTTGCCCGTATTGCATCGAAATTACTATACATGTTGTAATCCGCAACAGCAGTTGGAGCATTTACTGATGTTGTATTATCCTCTTACGTTTCTCACTCTTATCGGTCCTCTGATATCCTCCAAGCTCTCCACGTCCACCACTTGGCTCTTCTGCATCACTTCGACTTGTCCTGCTTCTCTCCTCTCCCACATTATCTGTCGTATATGACCCATGGTGTCCCTCCACTCTGACGCATCTAGTGTACGCAGCTCCTCTGTTGATAACGCGCGGGCAATCTCGGAGGGGCAGATCGTCTTTGGCCAAGGCCTTGTGCTCAATAGACGGTCGGCATGGCGCGATATGATGGACCTCTTGGCGTCGTCAAGAAGCATTGTGTTGTGTGTCCGACTGACAGCCGCCGTTTAGCACCCAACAGGCTCAATGCAACAGACAATTCTTGGGCTTTGGTGAGATATTAATGAGGCTGTAGTCTCGATGTTTTACTCAGATGTCTCTGCTAGACCCATCGTCTGCCGATCTGCAACCAGGGTCCTTGATCCTTTAGCCAATCCTTTGACGTCAGAGCGCCCAATCGGCGCGCAGGAGAAGCAAAATAATTCGAGCATTATCCGTTTCGCGTCCCCTCTCTCCTAGAACCGAAACTGCCCGCAGCATTGTCATTGGCGTTTTACCTCTTTTGCACCATCTTTTTTTCTTGTTGTCCTGTCATGCCGCACCGGTTACCCCACGCTCTCCGAGAGCTAGTCGCAGCGGGGCAGCTCTCCTTCGCTCCCGCAGCTCGACTCTTATCAAGCTCAACGCCGCTACAGCGTACTTCTCTTTCACTTAACCGGACTTCGTTGCGATTCTGTTCTACTGGACCAGCATCATCACCGCTTTTGCAAACAGCCACAGCACAACAGCCAATTAGCGCCAAAAGACACTTTTCGTGGCCCAGAATGACTGGAAAGGAAGAGCCCAAGGAAGTGCGCAAGTACCTCCAGCAGAGTCATGACCGTATCTTTGAGAACAACAAGAAATGGGCCGATGAGATGAGGAAGAGGAACCCCTCCTTCTTCAGCAACTTGACTGCCGGACAGGCCCCCGAGTATCTGTGGATTGGTGAGTTCTACACGGCTATACTGGAATGACTCAATCCATCATAGACGTAGTTGCTAATCCATCACCTACAGGCTGCTCTGACTCCCGCATCCCCGCCGAAGCCATCACCGGTCTCGAGCCAGGCGAGATGTTCATCCACCGTAACATCGCCAACCTCGTAAACAACATCGACCTAAATGTCATGTCCGTCGTAAACTACGCCGTGCGCCACCTCAAGGTCAAGCACATTGTCGTCTGCGGCCACTACGGCTGCGGCGGTGTCAAGGCCGCCATGACACCAAAGGACATGGGTCTCCTGAACCCATGGCTGCGAAACATCCGCGACGTCTACCGGTTGCACCAAAAGGAGCTCGACGACGTTGTCGCCAATGGTGGCTCCGAGGACGACAAGTACAACAAGCTTGTTGAGCTCAATGTCTATGAGCAGTGCCGAAATGTTATCAAGACGGCGGCTGTGCAGCAGTGTTGGGCGGAGAATGAGTTCCCTGTTGTACACGGCTGGGTCTTTGGATTCGAGGATGGACTACTGAAGGATCTCAAGTTTGATCATGAGGGGCAGCTTAAGGAGATTCAGAAGATTTACGATTTGACAAAGGATATGTAGATAGGGATAGGTGGGGTGTATGAGTAGCGGTTATGGCATTTAGCAAGGTGTTGACGGTGTTGAGATGGATGCAGATGAGGACGTATGATTTAGGTTGGTAGACTTGACGTCTCCGGATATATGGAGTTGACGATAGCATCGTATCCAATGAAGTATGTACCTCAATACCACAATCATGAACTTACAAACACCAGTGACATTTTATATAACCCCTAGTCTGTAGTACGTAGCATGCGCATTCCCGTAAACAACGCATGCACGTTCATTTCGATCAACCAAAAAGGAAAAGGGAGAGGAAAAAGAGAAAAGAGATTGGACATGCCATGATTTGCACATGGATCCCTCACACGACCCACACAGGTGCCCGCAGCCTGTTACTCCTGTGCTCACGCATCGACCTCGGTAGATCGCAGAACCGGTGCTGGTGGTAAGTTCACGCAGCATCCCCGATTGGTGGCCATTGGGTGCGAGTGCCTTACCATTAGGCTACACGTCCTAGCAATTTCGTAGTGACTAAGTGTAGATTATTGAGACATATCTACTCGGGTTTTCGGGAGGCGGTTGTTTGAATCAGAGGGGTGTTTTTACCCATCGCGGTTGCTATGTTGAGAGCAAACATGGCAATCGCTGTCACACCGCTATCTTCTTCATCGCCATTGAAGGCTTCCGGTACGATGTCACCAACATACCAGGACGTGCAACTCGCGAGTGCAGCAGCCATGAGTAGTGCATCGAAGATGTATATCGGCCATTCGTGTGTCAAGAGATATCCCTGGTCTGCTTTCGGTCAGTTGAAATTAACCGAAAGGCAAGGAATACACTCACCACCCGTGACGTACTCAGCAGCGCGGAATATGTTTCGTACTGTTACCAGTCCACTAACAATGTACAGTGTGACCATGTACTCCTGCCAGTTCAACATCTCAACTGTTCCAACTTCCAACCTCTCAGCCTTCCTGGCTCTGAGGTGGAAAATAGTGGCAACAACCAAGAAGAACCCAAACACGATGAGCTGTACGACCAAACCAGCAAGTATGGTGTACTTGCTCAGATTCTTTGTCGACTGCGAAGCATCAGTCTTCACCAGAAAACTAGCGCCTGCCGCTTGCGCCAAAAAACACAATATATCGCCACCGAGAAAGATCTTTGTCAGCCACGTCGGCCTGATGATGGAGGCTTTGTTGTGTCCCGATGCGAGGATCAGGCGGCCAATGAACATGTAGATTGTTGCTGTAAAGAGTATGGGTGCGAGCAGGACGAGCATGGTTTGGACGATGTACGCGTTCTTTGAGGAGGGGTGCGAGTGGCCGTATGCACGGGCTGCGTAGCCTAAAGACTCAACTTGGGAGGTGTCAGTCAAGTTTCTGTAATTGTTGACAATAGATTGTGTGTTCTCATCTGGGCTATTGGAAAAGGAGGAGCAACTTACAGACGGCGCCGATGACGAGGGGCACAGCGAACCATGTCTTGGTCTTGAACAACTTTACCCAGTGTATCAAAAGTAGGACTGAAAAAATCACTCCACTGACGATGGCCGCGGGCTCTGAAGGGAGGTATGGGTAGAGAGATGGAACGCTGTCTACCATTGTGGTCGTAGATAATGCTTGAGATTTAGGGGAGTGTGTGAGGAATACCGTGAAGGGAAGCTGGTGAGGTGTTCAATGAGGAGTAAGAATGGCTCGTAGAGAATTCAGAATTATGGATGACGAATGTGAAACTTATGCATGTATGATCTGCTATACTATGTGGGACGAGCAAATTGTTTTATATACATTATGAGCCAAAGACTATAGAGTATAATGAGAATTATACGGAGATGTTGAGGCTTAGACCAGACCTGATTATGAGTGCATTCAAACCATGAGTGGTTGAGTAGATTAGCGTGTCAAACAAGGTTTTAAAGTTATATATATATATATATATATATATATATGTGTGTGTGTGTGTGTGTGTGTGTGTGTGTGCCAAGGCTGTATGCCCCTGAGGCTGGAGTAGGATGTAGGACGTCGATGGGAACGGATAAACGAGAACGAATCAGGCTATCTCATTCTCATTTTCATCTGTGCCCGCTTCATGAGATAGTAGGTGAGAAGAATCCATGTTCATTAATCCATTGGACGCCTTCTAGCCTGTAGTATTGTACATCTTCGCTTTTACAATTTATGTTTCTTTACTTGCTCATAACACCATTGCATGATCTCGTTCCAGCGGCTGTCGCAGCCATTGAGCTGGGAAGACAGTTCCTCCACAATTCTTCGGCCAGCATACTTTGACCACCATATATCCTCCAGAATGCAACTAAGTGCACCCCAACATGCCAATATTATCAAAGCTGCGGTTTCTCCCAGATTAGCCTTTTGAAAGAAAACAGGCTCCACCATCACCAACCAAGAGATGACCGAACGCCCGTTGTTATCAGCGTATGACTTCTCCAGCTTCTCCAGTATACTATGGAAGAATGGCGTCGCACTATCGTCAAGATCCATATTTGCTAGTATAGCATCGGTCAACTCTCGCATCTTGTTCGCCGAGAACCCACTGTCATCTTCGATTCTTAGTACAGTAGGACTGTCGAGGATTCGTTTAAGTTTGCTGTTATCAGCCCAGACGCGATGTTCAATGATCATGTTATTCAAGCATAGCATGTACTCCCTGATGCGCATCATTATTCCGGCTATTGGTTCCAACTGCTCACGTGGAGTCGCGGGTGTCAGAGAGGCCACCAGTGCGGTTACTGCGTGGAGAGCAGTCATAAGGCAAACAGGATCGAGGTTCTCTTCCGATAGTTTAACGAGCGACTTTGTTTCGTTGAACTCGGCTATGCTCTGGTTCTGGTAGTGGAGAGCGGCCGCAAGATGCTCATGTGAACTGCTGGCCTCTGTTGCTTTGCTCGCGCTGTGCAGGGACGTAAATGCGAGGACGATGTCCATTAGGTAAGTGTGTTTCATAGCCTCCGCGACTACATAGTCGCGAAAGACCTCCATGTTGCGAGGACCAGAAGTACGATATGTGACTGTAGACCATTGGTGCATGAGTTGCATTTCTCTCATTCGAGTGGCATTGTAAGTGACCAGTCGTGAGGAAGGGCTCCGGTATGCGTTATGCAGTGGACACAACGAGTATGTGCTCGATAGAGGTAACGATAATGCTGATGATGACCTTGCCGTGATTGAGGGTGTCTTTGCCAAATTCCTAGATCCGGCAGTCGCAAAAGTTGGCTTTTGATAGATGCATGCATCTTGTCGTTGAGCACAAGCCCCACATATTGGTGTAGCTTCGTCACATTTGACGCGCCGTCGCTTGCACGTGTCGCATCCAGCCTTGGACTTCCTATGGTATCGCTTGATTGGCTGTCCGGCAGGCTCTCGAAGTCCGCGCATGATGCACCTCTATCGTTTGATGAAGTTGCATTTGCAAACGTGCAGGGCGTGAAGTTGTTCGTGAGTGGAGTAGTATGGTTTAGACCTCGAAATGTGCGACGGGGGTCAGACTTGGTTGCGCCAAAAGCCCAATTCGATAAAGTGACGCTAAGTATGCCGATCAAGAGGCTAAAGGTACTCGTTTACTCGTTCACCGGTCTAGCACCGGAATCCAAGACCTCCATGTTCCATGCCGACTGTAGCGAAGTTGACGTGTCCAATCCGGACGATCCAAGGGTATTGATCAATATGTCGCTTGACCGTCCTCGACAAGAGAAACAAATAGCTTCCTGCATCACTATCCGCTGATTATCTGTTGCCTTGTTCTCTCGTTTGTTCGTTTGCTCGTTTACCTTGATGTATCATCGTACCTGTTACGCCGACAATACAACCTAAGAGAGAAAGATATGACGTCGGAGAACCGAGACATTTTGCAAATCACCGGAACATATTGTCGTATAAAAGATGCTGTTGCAGCCATCACCTACAGCTGTGTGCATATCAGAGCGAGTTATCCCTTGTATCGAGCACCGAACGCGTCTTTAGCACCGAGTCGATCTCCTCTTGTACACAATGTATTCAGCTTTAGGTATGTCAAATCCAATTGCCTGGCCGTAATCTATCGGGCTTTATCTCAGCTTCTGACAGCATCAGCGACGCGCGCATTGGCTTGTTCAAGCCTCCAACAGCCCTATATCCCTGGCACTGCAGTTACAAACTTCACAGCCGAGCTCAAGACGCAATGGACGCCGGCAGGCTCGCCAATCCCAGCCGAACAACTTGTGCCGCTTCTTGGTTTCTCATCTTATAACATCTCCTACTGTCGTGTGGAGATGACCTATAACCACCCGGGTCAGAACGATACGATCAACCTTCAAGTATGGCTGCCGGAAGAATGGAACGGACGCTTCCAAGGTGTAGGAGGCGGTGGTTGGCGCGCTGGTGTTTTTGACCAGCTCTTGCTTCCAGCCATCATTGATGGCTATGCAGCAGCTTCCACTGATGGTGGCCATAATGCGACTGAAGTCACCGCTACTCCCTGGGCGCTCCGATCTCCGGGCAATGTTGATCTGGCTGCTCTGCAGAATTTCGGCTCTATCACTTTGAATGAGCTTTCTATATTTGGAAAGATGATTACAGAGAGCTTCTATGAGAAGGCTCCCACTTACTCCTAGTATGTATGACCCTACCATTTCAATTGAAGAAGCTGCCGGTAGTTCGTTCCATTTTGAAAGCGAGCAGTGGTTGACTTTCTACATAGTTGGTTAGGATGTTCTCAAGGCGGTAGACAGGGCATGATGTTGGCCCAACGCTATCCAGAAGCATTCGATGGTATCCTAGCTGCAGCTCCTGCATTGAACATCAACCCCCTTTTCGCAAGCTTGTTTCATGCTCAAGCCGTCATGAATACCCTGGGAGAATACCCCCCTAATTGCGAATTTGAAGCAATTACGGCCGCAGCAATTGCCGCTTGCGATGCCTTGGACGGCTTCGAAGATTCCATCATATCCATTCCAGAGTTGTGTTCTTTTGACCCGTTCACCGTCGTCGGTCAGCCCGTCGACTGCAGTAACAACAGCTCCGACATGATCTCTGAAGCAGCAGCAACCGTTGCAAACGCTGCCTGGTACGGTGTCTCCAACAAGCAGGGACAGAGGATTTACCCAGGATACTCTCTAGATGCACCTTTGAAGGCAACGGTGGATACGGCCTGCCGCAGTTCGGGTAACTGCTCAATCTCCCCCTGGGCACTTGGCGCACAGTTCTATCAACTTTTCGTCGAGAAGAACACAACTTTCGACGTTTCCACGATCACTGCAGAAGTACTACCTGACTACATGTATGCCGGCTATCAGCAATGGGAATCTTTCATAGGCACCAACGATGCAGACCTTACAGCTTTCAAGGAAGCAGGCGGGAAGTTGCTCAGCTGGCACGGTATCGCAGACGACCTGATTCCTTTTGGTGGCTCAACGCGATACTATAACCGTGTAGCCGCGTTAGATGACGACGTGGACCATTACTACAAGCTCTTCGTTGCACCAGGTGTCTATCATTGCGAGGGTGGTCCCGGGGCGCAACCCATACAGTTCGGATTACAACAACTTGTCTCATGGGTGGAGAATGGTACCTCCCCAGACACCATACCAGCAATTGGAAAACACCCGGTCAATGGAACAGTGCTGTCAAGGGATCTCTGCCCTTACCCGCTGGTGTCCGTTTATCAGGGCGGTGCTGTATCTGATGCATCCTCTTATCGCTGTGTCGATGTGAACAATGCGTAGAGGTTGTGCAAATTTCCGCATGTTACAGGGTCGTGTAGAGGTGGGCAAGCTGGAAGCCTCATGTAAGAAAGCCAAGCACACATTTTTGTGTGCACTACGGCGTGTCCCATTGTCGTATATACTGTCAAATAGTTGCTACAGGATTTCAATGGTTGTGCCTCAATGCAAGCTCTTCAAATCGCAATTTTGGTAAAGTTCACAAAGTACCTGCGTTTGAAAGAATGTACACCGTGGATGTTGCGCTCTCTTAGCACGCGTCCGCTGGTACTGGCTCGATGGGGATATCCAAAATGGACGCGCGCAGCATATTCGACATCCGCACCTAATGTACACCCAAAAGTAGGTTCATTCCGGAGTTGCATGTCGAGGGTAGAGAGGCTGGATGTGAGTGGATGTGCGCACAGGTGCCGTCGACCTTCGTGTGACTGGCTCCAGCCCGAGGCCGACACCCGCCCAAAACCGTTACATGTTGCGAGGCCTCCATCAATACACCATCGTTCTACCTGACAGACGACACGCGCAAGTCTGATGATTCGAGCTTATGTGTGGTGCAATGTGCGATGCCTCGCAGTGTGGCTATGCTGTCATAGTGAGATGTAGAAAGGCTGGCGAATATGCCGCGGAAGCCTCGTGGCGAGATCACCGAAATCACCGACCCGCGCTTGACAAAAGACCGGCCATCACTCATTCAGCTACCTTCAACAGTTCCAGAATCTGGAAACATCATATACTACTGACACTACGCAGCGGACTCAGTGACGATTACATTGCTTGTATCTTCCGTTCAATATGGTTGAGCAACCAAGTATTCAATGTGCAGACACAGATGGCAACGGACCAGCAAAACGTCGTCGAAGGCCCGCACTATCTTGCGTCGAGTGTCGTATGCGCAAGGTAAAATGCGATCGAGAGAAGCCTTGTGGAGCATGCACCAGAATCAAATCGGCGACCTGCACTTTTAGACCTACGCGCCCGGGAATTCGGTCAGAAAGGAGCGAAAGGTCACCCGAAGATGATACCTCGACAGGCCACAGCAACGACCAGGACCAAGGACATCCGGCTCGGTCTTCTCCTCAGCCGCCCACAATGTCCAATAACTTTGACGCGATGATCAATCGCTACGTGGCACCTGGGCTTCTCGGAGAACGTGGTGGCAAACTGAAGCCTTTGCCTGCCGATAGACCGCCTTTCAACTTGAACTCACACCCAGATACTACACAAGCCTCCGTCATCAGCAGCTTGTTGGGTCGGATCCACGGCCTAGAAGAGCAGCTGGCGAGTGCTAATTTGAATGAGCAAGCGGGAAGTGGTATATTGCCGAGACAGGAAAGCTCAGATGCCACAAGCGGTCAGTTTGTAAAGTCGAAGTTTTACGGTCAGAGTCATTGGATCAACGCTATAGACCCTGTAAGTGAGCCTTGCCTGAGATCTTTATACATTTATACTTGTGCCGGACTTCACTGACGTACGCCGACCAGTACGATGCTCTTGGTGCTGCGAATACTCAAATCAACGAAAACACAAATAGGAAAGAGGTGTATGTGATTTTGCGCAAGCTTTATTTGAAAGAGAAGTCATCTAATTTTGACGCCTAGGAACAAGTCGACCGAACTGTATGCTACCGTCTCAGAAGTGAAACGAATGGCTCGCATCATCAAGGCCTCGCGCATGTCACAGCCTTCAATATCACCAGAATTGCAGGCATGCATTCCACCCAGGGAGATCAGCGATGCGCTTGTTCACTGTTACCTGCGCACATTCGAGGGCGTCTTTCGTGTCTTGCACGTTCCTTCGTTCAAGAAGATATACGACGCCTATTGGCTAGGCACTATGCCTGCAAAGCCTTCCATCGTTCATAAGTTTCTACTGGTATGTGCAATTGGCGTACCATTCTACACTGGACCAGAGCAAGCCAAGCTCCGCGTCTCGGCCGTGAAATGGATCCAGGCTGCAGCAGAGTGGCAAAGTGCTCCTCATGCGAAGTCGCGTCTCAACATGATAGGATTGCAAATACAGATTCTGATTCTAATCGCACGCCAAGTTTGTAATGTCGATGGCGACCACATCTGGATACCTGCAGGCACGCTGTTACGAACGGCCATGCATCTTGGTTTGCATCGCGATCCATCTCATTTCCTCAAAATCAGCGTCTATCATGGTGAGATGCGACGCAGGCTTTGGGCAACCGTCTTGGAGATTACTGCGCAAAGTAGCCTGGATATGGGCATGCCACCCATGGTTTCTATCAACGACTACGATACTAAGCCGCCGTCTAACATCAACGATGAAGACATGGGTGAAGGCATTGAGGCGCCTTTGGATGCGAAACCAGAAACTGTTTTCACCGACAGTAGCATCCAAATTGGTTTTACACGGACCCTTCCTGTAAGGTTAGAGATCATCAAGCTGATCAACAATCTACGCTTTGATCTATCGTACGATGACGTACTGCGCGTCGGCAGCGAGCTAACCAGCGCCTGTCGCAAGGGGATGATATTCTTCAAAACCGCATTAGCTGCGGGACACAACATCACGCCTTTCCAGATAAAAATGTACGACACCCTAGTCCGACGCTTCGTCCTCTGTCTTCACCGCCCATACTTCTCAAAAGCATTCAGAAACCCACGCTATCATTACTCAAGAAAGATATGTTTGGACACCTCGTTAGCAATCTACGCGCCGGCGACGGACAACGCGCCTGATGAAGAAGACGATTGGACACGTATGACACATCGATGTGTCGGCTTCTTTAAGTCATTCTTCCTCTACGGCATGTCAACCGTATATTACGAGCTTACTTCGCAAATCAATGAGAGACTGGAAGATGCAGCGCTCTTTGCTCCTATGGTTTCCGCACGAACACCAACATCTTCCACCACAGGGTTGTCATCATTACCGGCACAGTATCAGCCTCTACGTGAAGTCCTAGAATCATCACGCTGCTTAGCAATAGCCCGGATCCATAATGGCGAAACGAACGCAAAGGGTGTCGTTTTCATAAATTGTGCCCTAGCACGCATCGACGCTTTAATATCTGGCAACGACCCCGACGCAGCTGTCCTTGAAGCAGCAAAAACTTCTACCAGCGAAACGAGTCGGATACTGGCTGAAGTATATCGAGAAGAGCACGGCGAAGAAATTGATCTAGGTCTTTCGAGCGGATGTTTCAATGGAAGAGAACACGGCCGTGGCGAAGGCGCTGATGACATCACTGGGAAGCATCTTCCTACTGGTACTGACGTCCAGAGAGGCTTCAGCAATGTTGCAGACTTCCCCTCTTTCGACGGCACGATGGAGGGAATGAATATGCTGGACGCCGATCTAGGAGATATGAACATGGGTGTGGATGTTGACATTAATGCCTACATGCAAGGACAGCCTATGGACATAGGGAATGGCTTCCATTTCGGAAGAAGCCCCGAGTGGTTTTATGATCTTAATGGGTGGGCTGGGACGGGCAATTCCGGGAACCTTGGGTACGGCGTTTGACGCCCGTACCATACGATCAAAACCTATACAAGGCTGCAGACCTTAATTTCGATACTCATCCGATGTCCAACAGCACCCGATAACAATGATGTCCGATACCACTCGGGTTACTCTTAAAAAAACGGCCCAAATGTCCAGAAAAAGGATGGTTAATTGCAGCTAATACCTCTTTCTATAGTTGCAATCCTGAGGATCCGCTGCCCGGCTTCCCAGCTTTTGCTATCGTCGTGAAAACGGTGCACATCACAGGCTCGTGCATGGGCTCTCCTAGGGAGATCGAGGAAACGCTACGTTTTATTGTGGATCGGTGTTAAGCCTCCATTGAAGCTCATCACGATGAAAAAGGCAAGCCGCGTCATTGTGGAGTTCGAAGAGGGTAAGCAACGATACAGATTCATACTCACAAACGAGAAACACACCAAGTAAAAGAAGATGAGATGAGGAAGATGTTGAGTATATGTAGCAGAAGTTGTCAGAGTGCAAATATAGTTTTTTGTATAATCCTCGGGTGTGGATTTCGTTCGAAGATGCGTAGAGGTCACTGTCGTGCTGGGGGCTATATAGTATCACACTTATGGCTCGATATTGAGTTACAAGCGACTGTCGAGATCAATCGAAAGACAAACTTCAAACTTCGTGAGCCGGAAGAGACACGCGCCCACGTGGGCGCTAAACATGGCACGCCTTACCATAGCGGGGTTGGCTTAGTCTTGGAAGCTCCATCAATGTCTTCCTGCAACTCGAATGAACTAACGAACAACATAGCGATATCTCCTTATACATCGCAGCAGGTCTCACCGTGCTTCCATCCATCAGAATGTCACCCATCTCGCGCATGGCTCGTCTCCTTCTCATCTTACATGCGTTCGTCAACATAGTCTTCGGCATCTACCCCTTCATCAACCCCGGGGAATACGCTGCCATGACTGGTCTAGAAGGCCCAGACAAGACCTTGCAATCGATTGGTAAGTCAGGATTTCCTATATTCGTTTCCCGCCTCGAATACCCGCATAAATTCGCAGATACCCATCCATCATACTTCAAGCTCAGGCTAACATTGTGACAAAGGTCTGGGTGGAATAGCAGTCGGCTGGTACCAACTCATCTTCACCCTCCAAGGCAACCGTCGCATGATTGCTTCTACGATCCCGATGAGATTAGGCTTTGCCGCAGTTATGTATAGTTGGGAGAAGCAGCCTGTGATGATTTACGAGCTTATCGTTGTGTGGTTCTGTTTACTCGGGGTGTTTGCTTAGAACAAGGAAACCACAGAGGAAGATCGAGAGAGAACGGAAAGAGGTGAACGAGATGGTAATCAGGATCTTTGAAGTTCGAATGGGAGGTAAGAGCTACTTCATTGTCGATCTATGCTATCTATTCGCGAATAACCCCAAGCTGGACATGAAGACAATCCGTGAATAAGCATGCTACGTAACCCCTTGTCCCTTCTCAACTCCATTTCACACTCCCTCCAGCTTTGCCATCCAGCCCCCATCCGCCATACGTATCTACAAAGCCCTCTCTAGTAAGATACTCCTTGTGTTCCTCGCTTCTCCACGCCAGCGCTGTACCCAGCTTCCAACTCGTATCCATCTTATCGACTACCAGTTCCACAAGTTGCAGGTTCTGCGGTTGCTTGAGTTGTGGTTTCTCTAAGATGGCTGCTAACTCTGACTGAGTAGTTGCGCGATGGTAAGAGGATTGCGGGTCCGGATGGCGGTACAGAGGGAGGAGGTGAGAGTAGTTGTGGGGAACAATGTCGTTGTATGCTGTCAAGGATGTCAGTTGATGTTGGATCTACTATTCTCTTGGTAGAGCCGAAAAACGAATGGTAGATAGGGGAGAGGAAAGAAAAGTCTGACCTTGTTGAGCGCCCCAAATCAATCTCTCAACTGTATATCCATCATTATTGATGACAAATACGATAGTCTTACACTTCGCCTTAATCATAGTACCAATTTCCTGGATCGTCAGAGCCATACTTCCATCTCCTGTTATCGAAATCGTCCTTCCTTCTCCTTCTCCTTCTCCTCCGGCCAGTTGACTCTTAGCTTTGCTTTCTACCTCTCTTCGCGCAATTCCTACGCCCAAAGTAGCCGCAGTAGCGAAGCCGATGCTACCGTAGTAGATCTGTGTGACTAGTCTGATATCTGCGGGGAACGTAATGTCGCAGATACCGAAGTTGGAGGTCCCAGTTTCGCTGACTATAGCGTCACCAGGACGAATGAATGATTGGATGGCGGGCCAGAGTTGGGATTGGGTCAGATGGGCTGACTTTGCGTCGAGCGGTGTGCGAGGTGGTGGAAGCTGTGGTTTGGGAATTTTATGCTGTGGTGTTGATGGCAGGGCGGCAGTAAGAGCCGCAAGGAGGGACTTTATGGCTGTGTCGGAGTAGGACTTGCCCTTGACCTGGTTGTTTGTCAGTAAATAGCATCAGACGTGTTGTGCTGAGAACCTACGACAACGTCGTGCGGGTTGATGTGAATCGTACTACTTTCATCCAACTGTCTTGAGAAACCAGCCGAGTTCGTGTCAGCAGGTATATAACCTAGGGTAACTACCAAGTCTGCTTGTTTCGCTGCTTCTTTGACACCTGGAGAACTGACTTCGCCATTCCAGACTCCCACATAGTTCTCTTCTGTCTCGTCGACAACGCCTTTACCCATGGTCGCTGAGAAAAAAGGAACATTGAGTTTGCGGACTAGCTGCGCAGTCTCCTGGGCAGCATTGAAGCGTTGGACGAGGGCATCTACTAGTATTGTCGGATATTTGGCTTGCGTAATTGCATCCATGATAGCCTTAACCGCTTCATCCTGTGCCTTCTCGTCAACGTGCGGCTCAAGATTGATCGGTGTTTTCAACAGCGCAGCATCCACCATCTCAGCACTCAAATCCAGTGGCATGAAAATATACACCGGCCCACTCTTGATAACACACTCCCTCAGCACCCTGTCAATCTCTTTCGGAGCATCTGCAACATCCCAGAGTTCTGCAGCAGCAAATCTCAGCCCCTCGCTAGCCTTGTTGTACATTTGATGATTTGGCTTATTCCCGATGCTGTGATGGATCATCATATTGCCTTTCTGCATCGCCCGTGTAGTCTGGCCAACGACATGGACGACTTTGACATGCTCACTCATGCTACCTGCGATGCCGTTCAGAGCTGATAGTTCACCGACACCGTGTGTGGTCACGAGACATCCGGGCGTGTTCTTGATACGAGCGTATCCATCGGCGGCGTAAGCTGCATTCAGCTCGTTTTGATTAGTGACGAAAGATAGACCTGGGGTGAGGTAGATGGAATCGAGGAACTGAAGGTTGAAATCGCCGGGTACTCCGAATATTGTGTCGACGCCAACTTGGTGGATGCGTTCCCACATGTAGCGTCCGAGGGTGATCTTGCCATCGCCTGCCATGTTGGGCTATCTCCTTGCTCTTTCTCCTTGTAACTGTTGTAGGTTTGGTGAGAGTATCTAAAGTTGGTGTTGGTCGTCGCTATCTGCATCTGTTAGTTATGTTGTTCTAATATGCCGTGATCCCTGCAAGGCGTAGTAGCGATAAGCTTACCGTGTGTTTCTGCCAGGATTCTGGATGATATCAACCTGTAAAGTAAGCAAGGTCCAGAGAAAGTTCAAGGATAATGCAGAAGATGGACGCTAAACATCATAAGATTCACATGATGTTAGCCTCTGTCTAGGGCGTGCGACGCGTGTAAGGCGTTGTATGACAACCGCGGTTCGGTTGGAGACGGTTAGCTACAATGCGGGGGATCGGCCTAACATCGGAATGATAGCGGAAACAAGTGGCTGCGGTATTGGAGAGCAAAATAATCAGAGCTTTGGGAACAAAATCTTAGGAGTAGTTGAAGAGTTTCTGGATTTGGGTTTAGGTCTTTGACAATTACGCGCTTTCTTCTGTCGTCCCTGCAACCGAGTGCTTCTTAGCATCCTCGAAGCTTGCCATCTTGAAATCATATGGAAGTTCAAAGTCCGCTTGCGGATCTCCCTCGAAAGGTTTGAAATCTACAAGAAGGGAGTCTTTGACTGCAAAGACAGCGTCGTCGTCGATGTACTTGCTTGTTCGGTCGAAGATTTGGGTAACAATGGGTTTGTAACCGGGTGCAGTAAGCTAAGATACGTTAGAATACCAGGTCGCAGGCTGCTACTATGGAATTTGACATACCAGAAAGTGTATATGAGCCGGTCTAAATGGGTGTCTATCCAACGCCTTCAAGACCTCGCCTGCAGGGCCATCAAAAGGTATGGGATAGGGCACCGGCCTCAAACAATAGAAGCTATACTTCCCATCCTTGCCTGTTGTGAATCTGCCTCTGAGATTCATCTCCGGTTGGTCTGGATCCTGTTGTTCGTACAGTCCGTTCGGTGCCGTATGCCATACGTCCACCACCGCGCCCTCGATAGGCTGACCTGTTTTGAAGTCTGTGACGGTGCCATGCATAAATGTCCGGTCACCTTGCTCATTTATCTCCTTGGACACGATACAGGAGCCCATAGGCAGCTTCGGAGCATTCTGCCGATAGAAGGGGCCTAGGATAGCGGTTGAAGTGGGTTCGTCAGCGGCGGTAGAAGCAAGCTTATAGGTAATTTCGTCGACGAGAGACTCGAGACCGAGAATATCGCACAGCAATTGGCCTTCATTGCGTTTGGAATCCGACATGCGACCTGCTGCATTCATCTGAACATTGTTTAGCATGCCGAGCATCTTATTTCTCAGAGACTTAAGCACAGAAGGCTTTCCAACGTACCAACTCGACTCCTGTCATCCACTCATCGACGGTGAGCTCATTCTCCCTCGCAAAATCATGAAGATGCCGTATCAATCCTGCTGTAAGTTGCCTGACTCTTGGTGTAGCCTTTGGTCCCGTCGCATTGATGACTGCTTGTGTGAAGTTCGGATTGAACTTGTGTTCCTTGCTATCCGATACCGCGGACGGGTGTTGAGCTTGAGAAGCTGGTGTTTCTGTAGACATGACGTATCTCCGTAGTATAGGTTGTGAACGTTGCGGTTCTGTCTTTGAAGCAATGAGGATTCCCTTCTTCTACGAAACACGATTGCGACTGAACCTTATATACACTGTACAGTGAGAATAGTTCGTATTCCAGCAATCACGAAAGGACGTTAGCAATACAGTCAAAACCCGGCATCCGGCAGCATATCGGCGAATTTGAACACACCAGTACAAGCCAGGTGCGCATAACTTCAGGGTCTATTGCTGGCTTACGCTTTCGCGACGTGAGATGGCGGGGCTGTGGAGCGAAGGGTGTAAATGGCACGAACGGAAGCTGTTGTCGGTGGAAGCAACCCGACGAAGGGTGCGCCATCCGATGCTGGGATCCCTGAGCTGACCAATAGGGAAAGATGCTATGTAAGATCGGTGATGAGCACGTACGAAGCAATCAACAGTTGTTGGCGGATGTGCTGGCTACGCCGCATGTCTATCATGGCAATGGGCACAAAAGAATGCTTGTGCATATCATAGTTTTCTGGTGAAGGAATTGAACTGGTCGATTTGTGACCTTGATCGCTGTAAATGCTACAATATCGCAAGGGCAAGTTAAACTATGCAGAAGAAATCCAACGCCAATTTTCAGGTTCCGACAACAAGACAAGACGCTCAGTCGCTGTCATCGTCGACCCTGGCACGCTTGGCTGACCTGCCCTCAGGCTCTTGGATGCCGTAACGTTTCTCGCCGGTCTTCTCTCCTTTTTCTCCTTTTTCTCCACGAACCTCATCAATCATCTGGTTGATGTTGAATGGGTCGTCAGTATCCTTCTCAAATTCCACAGGTCCGTCCCGAGCTTCTTGCAGATCGGCACCCTTGAATCCCTCCTTGGCCTTTCCGAGGACTTCGAACTTGTTTGTCTTTGTGATCCTATCGTATGTCTGTCCTTCATCCTCCCCGTCGTCCTGTTGTACACTAGGGCGGTAGATGCTGCTAATGGCATCCTGAGCCGCAAAGAGAGGCTTGTCATAATGGTTGTCCTCGTTGAAACCAGCGTTGAATCCGCTGGATTGGTTGAACAGTCGCGAATCGTACATCGACTCTCCACTCTGCGTAGGTTTTGCCAGACCAAGTGCAACCTTCTCAGAGATGTCACGATTCTGCTCCCGGGCGAGCATCTGGATCTTGCGCTCAGTACCCATCTTTGACTGACGAAGTTCACGCTGGAAGTCTTCGCGCCGCTCTTTACGAGCATCTATTCGCTTCCGCACTGCCTCCTCCTCCGAATCTGTGTCCGAATCGCTTTGTGATCGTCGTCGGGAGGCGTTGGCACGCTCTGCTCGTGCCTGTTTCGCAAGGTCCCGTAGGCGCTCTTCCTCCTTTAGTTTCGCCTTCTCTGCTAGTTTTTGCTGCATAATAGCACGCTGTTTGACCTCCTCTCGTGCATGCCTGTCTGCAGCCTGCAACGCTTCGCCAAATTGAGCGAACTTGTCATTGATCGTGATATCTTGGAGACCCCGACCATCGGCTGCCAGACGTTTGTCAAGTGGTACAGTATAACCCTTGGGGTTCTTCCAGTTACTGATCGGGGGTGGAATCTTCCATAGCTCTTGGTCTTCGGCAGTCAGCTTCCGAGGCGGCGAGTGGAGGACGGGTGGAGGAGGCGATGGCGGTCCGCGGGGGATTCGCTTGTGCTTGAATTTGGGTGGTTCCATGGGGTCGATTTGTCTTTGCTGGATCTTGATAATGCGCGTTTGGCCTTGCGCCTGACCGTGCTGCGCAGTGGGCGTATAACGAACGAACGTGGGCTCGTCATTCTTTCGTCCCTGTACGTTCTTTGGTTTTTGTGCGGCTGTCTGCCCTTGAACTAGTGCCATCAATGCCTGCTCAGTCTTCTCCTTGGTCGCTTGGACAACGTCGGCGGAGGGACGCGACAAGTCCAGCTCGCCGGCGTCTGCCTGTTGGCGCAAGGGGATGAGGTCCTTGAAGCTTGCTTGTACAATCCTCGAATCGCCGTGTCCGCGTCGCGCAATCTCATCGTATTTGGTCTTGCCCTCGCCGTCGACCCTTCTTACAAGAGCATTCGATGTGGATGGTGTGCCCTTCTTTCCCATGTCCAGTGGGTATTGCGCAACTAGTACTTCGGGGAACGCGCCTCCATCGCCAAAGTCTAGATATGGAGTCAGTGCATGTCTCGCGTGCATCTCGTCTGTCCAAGCCCTACCTTCAGGCGCGCGGGGTCTCCAGTGCTGCCTCTGGCCGTAGGGCGGCGGACCCTTCTTCGCTACGACTTGCGCTTCGTATTGCTCTGCGGTTAATACGCGCGTGCTGTTGGTGAGCTCCTCCTCTTCGCCCGAGTACTGCGGCTTCGGCAACGACTTGGATAGTGCTGCGACAGACATGGTCGATTTACTCGCTAGAACGGTCTGCGAGGCGATGAATGTTGGATATCGTGATCCGTGTTTGGTTGTGGTGGTGGTCGATGGACAAGATTATTTCATCAGACTTTCGGCGTTCTGGTTCAGCCATCGCCGAGATCACGTGAAGAGACGCCACAACGCCACAACCAGTGAACGAGGCGCAACTGGCAACTAGCACTAGCATGTGCGCAAATACGTTGAACCTACCGTTTATCGATTTTGTGTACACGATGAGCGAGCTAAACTCTGTCTTGGGTCGCGAAATTGCAGTGTCCTGGAAAGGTTCTCCCGCTGATGCCGCTTTCATTTTCACGACTCAAGCTACGGCGATTCTTACTTGTGACTGACATGGATCAAAGTCCCCGTCCCAACTCGCTTATAGCGCCATTGACCAGGATGGCGAATGCAGGAACAGTCGCTCTGAGCACAGTATTTCTGCAGTCTTTATCTTTTGCGGAAAAAGTGTGGAAAGTTGGAGATGGGGTCCTGCTAAGGTCCAAGCAGCGGTGTGCGTTCACCGGACGAGATGTCCACACAGCATGCTTTTTGGGATAAATGCCCACACTGGGGAGATAATAATCGCGCAGGTAACGGTAGGGCCTTGCTTACCAGGAATTCTAACCAGAGCAGGGTGCCACGTCTCGTGTGTTTGTGCAGAGCACTCTTTGGCAATCATGGTGCATGGCAGAGATAGGGCAGAGCATGTGATGGCAGATATAGGTGCTAGGCTATATTTCTAGTTAGCTGCGCATCATACCGTTGCTAAGAGACGGTTCGGAAGCTCGTCATTCGTTCCAGAAAGGACTGTGACATCTCGTGCAGAGTGGCCCGGCACCCTAGCAACGAATGGGCCATGGTCAAGATGCTAGGGATCCCCAGCGTCGCAGCATCAATCCTCTGAACTTTGAAGAGAGCATGCGCAATATACGACGGCTTGCGCGCGGACTGTGGGTCACAAAAGCAGCCATGACGGGCTGAGTATTCTGAAACGTTGTCCGTCATCCCTGTCTGGTGTGCCAGCGCAGGCCTGCAGCTATGCCGACCCATTCTCGGAAATCATCTGGAGGAGCCTCACAACACACCACGCAAAGGCGCAATTCGACTTCCCAGCAGACGCCGCCCAAGCCGCCCAAGCCGCCCAAGCATCTGCGCAACAATACCGCTCCCGAGCCGCCGACACTCTTGCGCCTGCCATCTGTGAGCTCGACCACCTCCGCCCGACGACCCCCAGCCTCGCATAGTGGCCATGGCATAGATAATTCGCGCGGCCCTCCTGTCACCTTGGTTACACGCAGTCGAAGTTCGCAAAACCCCGCCGACTTTGCCTATGCGCAGCAGCAACAACTCATCCACTCAGGCCTGGTTTCCCCCACTAGCTCCCACCACTCGAGCAGCAGACGACGCGGGGAGGACGAGCTGGGGACCTCTAGTGAAGCCCCGCGACCACCACCACAACAAACAAGCGCAGCAGACCCTGGCACTGGGAATCTCCCCAGACCCCGCCCGCCCCGAAGAGCCTCTACCAGCAGTTCGAGGCCGCCCCCACCGCGACGCATGGCCAGCTCAACCGACGAGTCGTCCGAATACGACTCTGGCCCCCGCAGCCGAATGGAGGACTACCACGCGGCGCATAGCGGGAGAGGTGCGCCCGCGCCTGCCACTCCAGGAGCAGATGGAGAGAAGGAGGACCTGTTTCTGAACATCGCCGCAGACAGCGCGCCCAAGCCCCAGCGCCCAGCAGAGTCCGCAACAGCGCGCGTCGATCGATTGAAGGTGAGCGCCCCAGCCCGCGCAGACAACATGTACGAGCGCATAGAGTTCAGCAAGAGAACGCTGTATCCGGCGGATACACCTGCTGCTTACACATCATCCGTACCTACACGCGTTCACTGCCTCTATGCGTAACATGCCGTCTCCTCTATGCCCTTTGTCTCTTCACAAGCTGTATCCATGCAAGACCCCGGTGCTAATTACAACAGTCACGAGTGGCCCGAGTCAACAACCGGCAGTCGCTCCCCTCTGCGCTGCAGTCGCCCTCGCCCGTGCAGTCGACCTCAGTGACACCAACAACAACAAGCCGCATACCCTCCGCTGTTGCCCTGGAAGCCAGGTCGAGCGGCATACGTCGGTCATCGCTTTTGCCTACTCCCTCCAGATACGAGCGATCCCCAAACTCGCCTGCGCCTGACGCAATACGAACCCGAGATCTCAACCACAAAGCCTCCTTCACCTCATCCCGAAGAGACGCAGAGCTCTCCCCACGCGACTTCCTAGCCCAGTTCTCAAACTCGTCCAGACGACCATCTCAGCCTGAGGTGCAACACACGCCGCCAAGTCGCACACCAGCATACCCTTACAGGCCGTCAAACCTGTCACACGAGCCACGGACGCCCCAAGTGGAGACGTCGTTCGAGGCTGGTTCACGCGCCGATGGTACCGAGTCGCATGGCTCTACAGGGCCTGCTGCGTCTGTGTGGGACGAGCTGGACGAGTTGAAGTCCAGGATACGGAAGATCGAGATGGGCGGCAAGATACCATCGACATCAGGCGCCATCGTGAATCAAGCTTCGGCTTCGGCCGATCGTCCACGAACAGCCAATACTTCAGCTACGACAGTGTCCTCTTCACCAAACCAGCAGCGCAAATCGAACCCGTCACCCTCTGAGTCGACAGTGGGCAGTAATACACCTAACAACAGCAAGACACACCCTCTGCTGAGGGACGCTCTCAGCAAAGCTAGGCAGCATGTCTCTCCAGCTGTGTACCGCACCCTGGAATCAACCGCGACAGAAGCACTCGCGTTGGCAGAGATGAGCGGCAGTGCGGGACCACAGGGCACACTCCATTCTGCTAGCTCCATCATCAACGGCTCTGTAGTGTCGGATCGCCAGGTCCGTCGCAAAGCCGACAACCTCTGCCGTAGTCTTACAGAGCTCTGTATAGCTCTATGTGACACCAAAACTGGTCTTGCCAGTCCAGCCTTCCGATCAAATACAGCCACAATATCACGCAGGCCAAGCGTACAATTCAATGGCGATTCGCCGACAATCCGACAAAGCATCGAACCCGAAAGCAACACATTGACTGGCGTCAGCCCTAGCAGAGCCATGTCACGCATCGAGGCTCGAAGGACCAGTATGCTTATTCCTGAACCCAATGGCAGCCAAAGAGGAAACAGCCAAGAACCTTACGACGACAGACACACTCCGTCGCGCATGCAGCGGGCAGGCACAAGCTTCCACCAGACACGCAACAGCGTGGATGAGGAAGATGAGGACCCGATATTTCGTGCGCCATCCCGTGCAATGACCTCCATCGATTTTAGAGCCCGTCATGGTGGTCAGAGTCAAGCAGACAACAAAAATCGATTCAGCAGACAGTACACATCTCGCGAGCCAATGCCTGACCTACAACCATCACCTGCGCTCCAAACTACCGCTAGTTTGCGTCGGCCCAGTGTCTCAAGTAGTACGCCCTCGAATGAGCATAGTCTACTATTCCGGGACGGTCAGAGCCGCTACGGTCACAACTTGGGTCGTGAAGGCTCGCCAGCCAACTATGAGAAGACCTTGACAGGGGGTTTACGACCACGAGCGCAATTGAATGTTGCCCGGAATCCGAACAACAGACACTCAGTGGGCGGTGTGTCGGATATCGGGCGTAGCGTGAGCTTAGGCAGGCGACTGAGGGGAACAAGTATCGGAGAGTGAGCAAGATGTAGCTCTCGACTTCCTTGAGCTTGTGTTGACGTTTTGCGTTGCCCTATAGCTTATCTAGCCTCCTCGTTGACCGGCGTGTAGTCACGCCGCGACTGACGTATCTGAGGCCAGATTCGCCATGGGCATACCAGCAGCGGCGCATCACACAAAGCCGAACAACAAACAAGACCTAGAATCAGACGCTCATAGGAGCATACTGGGAACGAACATGTGCAGTCAGCCTCGCGAGGCATGCTACGTCTAGGCGATTCACCATCGTGAAGTTTCAAAAACATTGTGAGAGAAAACTGTTCTCATGACTTGCATTTTTTTTTTTTTTTTGCCATCAAGGGCCGACTGCGGAAGCATTTGTTATCAGCGTTCCAGCACGTAAAAGGACAGCGTGTGAGCGCAGGATCGATCACCGTTCATCTCATGATCTCGAATATCTTCCTTTTTTTCCTTTCTTTAGTTTATATACCAACACCAGATCGTTTTCCTTGCTTTCCTCTCTCTTCAAAACATAGGTACTGAGACTCTGTGTATATAGCATCTACCAAAACAGCCTTTCTTCTATGTAGATCGAACGTGGATGAACTACAAATAATTCGCCGAACAAAAGCTAACGACTCTCGAAGATCACACGTCATTGCCATCGCACACTTAGTGAAAAACATGTGACGAGCAAGCTCTCACACACGCTTTGACGTTACTCTTAAAACCAGGTTCTTACCACTCGGTTGCTCTCTCAGGACCAAGCAACCTCACAATATCGTGGCAAAGCAGTCATAGATCTTGGGAACATGAACTTTCTGTTCGCACACCAGCTCTTCGAAGACTTCTGCTACTGGCCCTGATCCGCGTGTTGAGTCACATCCTACTACGGACACCATACAGATAGGACCACTACCGCATTGCCGATTGGTGATTGCTCATTTGATGAGTAGCTTCCAAGGGTCCTTGTGGGCCGTCATGTGATGCTAACCATTCACAAGGGCCTCGTACCTGCCTTATAGAGATATTTGCGCTGTTGCCTTATTACCGACATAGCCTAGTCTAGCGAAACCGTGGCTCAGAAATACTGAATTTCCACGCTGAAATTCTGGAAATGCGGTGCGTACGTTGATAAAGAGCGTAATCTCCCTTTCAACACTGTCACTCACCATCTTCGCTAAGTGCTCACCTTCCATGCAACAGCAGTGTGAAACGACGACATTTCCTGCGTTGAAGCAAACTGCTTTCTGAAAGCGCACCATCCCACATTCACTCTTTCAGACGCTTTTGGGTTCTGGCTATGACGCAGTTGCACTCGCATCCTACTTCGAGTTCTTCTCACGTACCTAGTTCTTCACGACCAAGATATACCACGACAACAGCACCTCTCTCCCACCCCACCACTCACATTTCGCGCCCAAACAACGCAAATCTGCACCCAAACTCAGTCTCAACTACAGCAAACTCGCGATCAAGCGCATCCCTAATTGCTCCAGTGCTTGAGCAAGCAGTGATTGTTACTCCGCGGCCACTTGCAGGCTCTCACATCGCGCAGGTCGCCACAACTTCTGACCCTATATACTCTACAGTTTCAACCAGCAACTTCGGATCCAGGAAACGAAGCCACGACATCATGGTCGAGCAAAATGAGGTTTCTGACGAGCGCATGCCTGTCCAGGTCACCGCGCAGGTCGCGCTTACTTCATCGGATCAGTCCGTCCCACATCCAAACTCTTCTTCTCAGTCACAATCAACTGCCGGATCACAATCACTCATACCTACTGTCGTGCCCGTATCCATGAGCCAGCCTGACTCTGATTCATGTTTGAAATCATCTGCGGTCGATATTGATTTCCTTCAGGGCGCAGAGCCACATATCTGGTCAAAACGACTGGCATCTCCACCGGTTCAGAGTGACCCCACGATGGATCTGCAACTTCTAGGTGATACGCACAAGCGTTCGCGATCACAAGAGGAGAAACACACTCGTTGTACCATGCCCATAACTCCATCCTTCCTTGATGATTTCAGCAACGAGGTAAGTACGACGCCTCCGCTATTGGAGCAGATAGCAACACCAAGATCATCACCAGATGGATTCGTTGGACCACCTACCCCGTCAACTGTAGCTCCGTCCTCTGATCGGACGCCCTCTGCTCTGCAGATCTTCGAGTCTCGCAGCAACCAAGCAAGACAGGAGCATCTTAGACGGACTAAGATTTTCCACAAGACACGTCGTTCGATGATGTGTCAGACGTATAGGATGCTCGTGTTTGCCTCCCGTGGATTCGAACGTGGGAGTCTACCTACGAGGCAGACAAAGCCTCCTCTGTTGAAGCGGCGTCACAGCATCGATGTGAACACTATCAAGAACTGGGAGACACGAGAATTTGCTTGTTGGCTACATTTTCATATGAAGGTAGACGATTTACAGCCACTGCTTCGTATTCCTGCGTGGCCCACTAACATTGTACAGCAAGATCGTCTTCGGCTACAGACCTCAGAGACAGAAATTCCCTACGTTGCTTTATCGCAACATTCGCTTCCTGATCCCCGTAGATATGCTGCCTTTGTTCCAATGTTCTATACTGAGATTCCTCACAACACCGAGAATTTCCTTGAGCTCGGGGACGTCACCTTACAAAACGACGCCTTTCACTATATTGGCGCTACCTGTTACGCCTTGTCTGGTATGGAAGTCTGGATGCGTGGCGAGAGTCTGGACATGGCTCTCGAAGTACTTCGCCGTGATGAAGATTGCGATACTTACGGTATCGACATTGCCAATTCCACTGTGGCCCAGATCTGCTGTTTCGCCTCAAGCGGTATAGATGGCCCTTCAGGAGAATACGACCAGTATAGGGCACGTTACAACAACAAGAACTGGATCATCGTTGTTTGCAACGATGGCATGGGTGGTATCGAGAACGATGGAACCAGCGGGTCACATTGGTCTATGGTGGCCATGGACAGGATCTCGAAGATTGCGTATTACTACGACTCGTTGTGGGTTGATCGGCACGAATACCAGAACTTGGGTCGCAACATCTCCCTCGGTATGCTCAACATCCTCGGCGAAGACATTTCTCTATGGAAATACCTCATACAGCTCGAGAGCCCCGATCAGAACTTTGACAACTTGTTCAAGCAGGATGGAGGTGCCTGCGGGCCCTTTGTGTACAAGATGACGCAAATCTTGATCAGATATATAAAAAGTCAGCAATCATTGGGTGTGGAACGATTGAGTCTGGCTGTAAACTACGCATGGGTGACGCAGGTGTTCTCACCGCAATTCCATTCGGGTGTTGTCCGCCGCGAGATGCAGGACAGTATCTTTCGTTGGCACCGTATCAACCGAGCGGCGGCGATCGCAGACCGTCACGACTACCAGGCTATCCAAGATACAGATGCTGTTCTGGACGACGGGCCAGTCGTCTCGTTTGAGATCCCGCCGAAGCCACGGCTTCCGGTTCTGCGTCGAACTCGTCACACTAATAAGCTCTCAAGGTCACACCACATCAGGCGTGGCTGCTTCAGCGGTACCAACTACCATGACCCCGTCGATTTGGACGATAGCGACGAAAACTGGACCATGGGTAACAGCAGTGACAACAGTACTGCAGGATCCTCAAGTGGTGGTACCGTTATCACTGGACATGAAGTTCTCTGGGAAGACGCAGGCGTCGATACAGCTATGGACGACGAAAAGCTTTTTCCTGTCCTCGACAGCGGTATTCAGCATATTGAAGCAACTGATGACGTCCAAGACGAACATACGCCTGTTCGTCTGCACAGAGTCGTCAGCCCAACGGAGCCTGTCGACGCGAAGGACATAGTGTGACCAGGCTTGATTGAGAGCCTAACAACGTTTCTAGGAGCAATATCTGATCTTGGTCACATGATAACAGATGTTCATCTTGAGGATACCTTAATAGCTAGGTTTCAATTTCACCGCCGCGCTCGGAACGATTAGGTTTGTTGCAAGACTCACGCACTGAACAACGGATCACGCAACTCGCCGACGAAACAGAACGCGTTTACGATCGTTTCTATGTCTTTTATGAGAGTAGTTTTTCCCTTGATTGCTTTCTTTTGAAGCGCTACCTGGCCTTGGCAACCACTTGATGGTTATCGCGTCGGATTTGGGTTGTAATGAATGGCAGTGGCGCGTCAAAATGGGTCACTATTTCGATGTGGGGACGGATACAGGAAAGTCAAAGCATTCTGCAAAGGTGCCGGAAGGGGGGTATCAATGGTTGCGTCATGAAGCTGAGATACCACTAAGCTGGACGTCCATATGGGTTGTTCTCACGGGTCGTACAGATGTTTATGGCTTAGCGATACGAAACCAGATGAAACAAAAAAGATGCAGAAAAAGGATTTTGAGGCAAGACAGCCAATACAAAAAAGTTTGAGATAGATTCCTATTTCCAATTCTGCTATGTCCTAATATGCATAGGTGAAGTTACTGAAATTGAAGCATACCTTCCTGTAATGGAACAAAGTCCCTGTCGGTACTAGGCTGAGCAGCAGCAGCGTTTGCGAGAAATAGCTTTCACGCTTTTGCAGCGATCAACAGCCTACTGAACTTACTGAATTAGGAAATAACAAGGCTAGAATCGCCATCGCCATCGCCATCCCAACCACATCAAGATCCTGTTTTTTGCCCATCTGTCCCGTCATCCCCAACCACCTCGCCAACCACCGCAGATCATGCGGCTGAACTCGCCATCGCCATCGAACATCGCAAGCGTGGTTGCGCAAAGTAGTGGCGGTGGCAAAACTGCAGCCGAGGTGCGGCGAACAACGACCCCGGGAAGGCGAAGATGTCGTGCTGCGGATGTACCTGTCGGTCTTGTCTATCAGTCAGGGACAAAACAGGGGACTTGCCGTTTGACTAAGGGTTAGTCATGTTGATCCGCTTGCGAAGCTGATGCGAACAAGAGAAAAAGCAATCATAATGCTGGTACCGGGAGTCGTGGAACGGAGGTGACGTAACCGTGATCCAGACCCAGCCTAACGTGACCCCCCTAACCAGACTTTGTGTGTATGTGTGTCTGTTTGTTAGCCTTGATCGTAATATTGATCGAAAACGGACTGCTAAGCGCGAAACCCGATGATACTATTGAATGTCTACTACACGGCGCAAAACGCGTGTTGTCTGCATATCAGATACGCACAACCAGACGCCCAAGTTGCCGCCCGGCGACGTTTTGATTCACGCAGGTGACCTGACGAATCAAGGAAGCTATACCGAATTGAAAAGAAAGGTTGAATGGCTTGAGAAGCAAGATTTTGAGGCGAAGATTGTGATCGCTGGTATGAAGAAATAATCTCTTTACTTTGCAAGAGGAGACTGCTGATACTCGAGGCAAAAGGAAACCACGACATCACACTTGACAAACCGTTCTTTGAAGAAAACAAAGCATCGTGGAAATGGCCTGGCTTTCAAGATACAGAGGCGTGTAGGAAGTTGTTGACGGAATCTAAATCGATTACTTACCTTGAGAATGAGTCTACGACGGTACGACTTCCAAGACGAGGAACTTGGTTTACCGTCTTTGGCAGTCCGTGTACGCCCAAGCAGCAACTGGCGGATTGGGCATTTCAATACGAACCTAATGAGGCAGAGAAAGTGTGGAACAAAATTCCAAATGGCGTGGATATAGTAGTTACTCATACACCGCCAATGGGGCAATGCGACGGCGTAGGAGCAAGCAGGCAACAGAAAGATGGAAGGTCAGGATGCCCAGCCTTGTTAAGAAGATTAGAGAGAGTCAGGCCGATGCTGAACATCTGTGGACACATACACAATGGACGAGGGGTGGAGACGGTACAATGGAGAAGAAGATCTTCCTCTCTACAGCTACATGGACAACCCACAACTATGGATAGCGGTACCCTAGTTTCAAGCGTGCAGTTCTGGAACGACCCAGGAGCCTCGAGCAAGAAACTTTCTCTAGTCGATTTGACGACGATGCGGGCGAGAGCAGGGCGTGGTTCGGGCTGCGACCGCACAAGCTTGACACGTCAATTGCAGCCTGACTCGCGATGCGACCATCTTCAAGGCCAGCCTGATGCGTCGTTTGCACCGGATCAGACAGGGCATAAGCCCCCATCCGGTGGAGATGCGAAGGGTGAGAAGCTTAACCCGACAGCGAGCCTCACTGACGTTGCCCTGCGGAACAGTGAGGCGCTGTGGGGTGGTAGTGGAGGTAAGGCAGGAGGGGGCGGTGGATTGGAGCATCACAATGAGAGCGATACCGGACATGGGTGTCCTGACGAGGCTACTCAGTATATCGCAGAACGACCGAGGGGTATGCCTCCATCAGGGACGGAAGTGGCGCGTAGCCAGACTACAGTGATCAACGCAGCGTATCTGGGCCCGAGAGTTGCTGGCAAAACGTCGGTTGTGTACAACAAGCCGATAGTCGTCGATGTTGAGCTTCCCGTATGGGGCTCTTTGGACGAGCCAAGTGAGGTATACCCTCAGGGCTAATGTGAGATGACGGGTTGACTGCAGCGTGCCTGGCCCAAATGATCTCATATTCTACCAGCGAACGACACTCTAGAACCAACACCTACATCATTCTGCTTGCTGTTTAATACATACTGTGTGCTATCTCACTTGTTTCATGCAATGGTGGAGGACCACGTAGGAGGACCTGCTTTGACGGACTGTGAGCTGACCATGTCACGATTGGGTGTGACATACAGTAGTGCCCCGCCTAACCCCGCATAAGCGTATCTTATCGTCCATTCAGGCCGCGGGCTAACGTCTGCCAGTCGGGACGGATCGAGTGGCAGCAAATCTGTGTCTTCTCACATGGCATGGGATGGAAAAATTGCTGGCTTGCGACGCAACCGCCGTGCCCTGACCCGAGTTGAGACACGACACAGGGATGCCCCTCAGCAGGGTGCATAGGAGATGGAGTGATGTGCGGAGGATGTGCAGAAGCTGTGCCGAGTGCCCGGTGACTGCTGTCGTCTGAGTTGAGGTAGACAAGTGTCTCGGAAGCTACAGAAGAGAGTTTGCTTGGTTGCATCTCGAATGTGACGAGACGCTTCTCGATTTGTGCTCTGTGCTTGACTTGTACCCTATCTGTGCCGCCGGATTCGTCATGTCTTGTAAATGCTCATGGTGGGGTTGGGTGAGCATTTCTCAAATGGTGTGGTCACTTGGGGCTTGGGTGGTCATGCAGGCTGTACGGGTTGATCCTATCAGATGCGGTCCGCCAGAAAGTCTGGAAACAGTCCATGTGGCCGCTTTGGGGCTTGATTGGAGAGGGTGTTTCGTAGCCGCCGCGGCCGACAGGTCGACCTGCAGCGTGCTCATGTGAAGCAACGGACAGCGGCTTGCGCGATGCGATGGGACACGATGATGGTGGCTCAGAGCGGGGGCTAGGACAGTCGAGGAGCAGCTGTGACGACTCTTCAGCCGTGGACGAGTTTGGTAGGCGAGAGCTGGATAGCGTGGGTAGCGCATGCATGTGGACGCTGATGAAGCGTGCGGTGCAAAATAGACAAGTGCAAAACCAGTGCGCAGCAACCCCCCCGTTGACACAGGGATTCCCAGGACGGCTGTTGAAGCCTTGTGCATGCGAGCCTGATATAGTCACAACTGCACCCCCAAAGGCGTGCAGGCTGACTGCTCCCAACGCAATTCCCGTTGCACAATTCTATTCTTCGAAGCCCGAGTCTTCTGTTATTTTTCGATTCTTTGCGTCCAGACTACGCGGTGCGATCCCGACTATTGGCAGCCGGATCCTATTGGCATATTGGCATCGCTGAAACGGTGACGTCGCAAAGCAGCTGCACCCACACCGCAAGTCCACCAAGCAGCTAGAGGCGGGAGAGAGCAAGAGAACAAGAAGATCGCACAGCCTCACTATTGTCACCGACTTGTCGTCCGGGTAGCTTGTTTCCTTGATAATTTCTTTGTCCAGATTCTTTGATCCGAAATTTTTGTCGCTTTGCCACGACCTTCCGCCGTCTTCGATCCGCCGCCAGTCTTGCCCGTCTCGCGTCTGTGTCCCTGAGCGGACCCACAATTCCTTAGGTCAGCAGATTCCAAGCCAGCCATCCTCGTCACCCCCGTCCCAGGAACACCCGCAGTCGCCCAAAGCTCTCACCACCGGCACATACTGCACCCGACTCTCCTTATAGGGCTCCCATACCGGCCCATCTGTTTCCCATCGCTCTTGCTTTTGTTGCCGCCGCAGCCTATACAACAGATCCCGCCGCCCAACACCGCCACAACTCGCTTGCTCATCCATCAATCACATCCATTGACTCGCTTGGCCGCGTCCGCATGTGTCAGGTCTGAGTCGCAAGCAGTCGTTGCTGTCACACCACGTATAAAAGAGATACGATACCCCACACCCAGCTAGCAGCAATCCCCTCCCCACATTCACCGCCATGGACGAGCCCACGCCCGACCACTACAAGGCCCTGGGCCTCGACAACACCGCCGACGCCTCGACCATCAAGGCTACCTACCGCAAACTCGTCCTCAAGTGCCACCCGGACAAGGTAACCGACCCTGCCCTCAAGGAGCAGAAGCAGGAGGAGTTCCACAACATCCAGCAGGCCTACGAGTGCCTCATCGACCAAGAAAAGAGGTCCAAGTACGACGCACTAGTCAAGCTCGAGAAGCTGCGCAGCGAGCGAGCTGCCGCCAGAGGAGCCGCCCCGCGCGACAGGACTGCACGCTTCGATGTCCCCACACCAGGCGGTGCGTCCTTCGCTGCAAGCGGTCCTACCCGCTACACCACCGAACACCGTGCGCCAACCAACGCACGCGACGAAGACGAGCGTTACTATGCACGGTACCACACCACCCCGTCCAAACCAACCGCAGCTTCGAGATCCACTCGCGAGAAGGAGTCATCCAAGAGCTCCCGACACGCCAAGGAAGATAGATCGCGATCGGACCGCGAGAAAACGCGTGCCAAAGAATCTCGAAGCGACCGCAAATTCACCAGTGTTGACAGTGAGTCATCGTCGGACGAGAAGGCGCGCTACGAGGCAGCCTACAAGACCCGTACCGAGGAGGAGGCTGCTCGGCGCAGGGCAGAAGAACGTCGGACCTACGAAGACAACCGATATGCTGGCGCCGCCCAAGCTGTCCCTGCTGCACGCAAGATGAGCGTCCAGGAGCAGGAGGCGCTTCGCTACCAGCACAAGTCACGCGCCCAGGTCGAAGAGGAGATGTCTTCCCGTCCCTCACCAGCTAGGGCCTCTTCGCGTGACTACTTCAACGCTGAACCCCGCCTTCAACGACGAGACAGCGCCCGACCCGAGCCTGTCCGCAGGTCGTCGGCCCGGCCAGGCAAGGAAAGGCCGTCCATGACCCGCCGCGACACCGATCGCACTGATCGCGGTATCCCCGAGGTTGTCGAGTGGGCCGATGACAGATATGAGGAAAGACGAGTTCCCAGTTTCAAGCAGACGACCTCATCGCCGGCTGACCTTGCACGCGGAATGCCTCAGCGTTCGTACACTGATCGGTCAACACGACATGCCGAGAACACGCCACCGTCGTTAAGTCGGTCATCCACTATGCCCAACAGCATCCCACACGTCTCCTCGTCCTCACGGAGGAAGGAATCCGTCACTCCTCGCGGACCTTCTAATCTTCGCGAGACCATGACGTCAGAACAATACAGCAGTCCCGAGAAATACGCGAGTCCTGAGAGAGATGCCTTCCCTACTGTCCCACCTTCATCAACCGTCAAGACATACTACTACCCCATTGCTGGAGGTGGCGTTTCTGCAGAAGCGCCCTCTTCCACTCCTCGCCACGTCGTCCGCGAACCCACTAGCCGCCAACACCGTTCAAAGTCGCCGATTGGTAAGCCCCCGATTGGTGCCAACCGTCCAACAGAGCCTGTTGCATACAAGACCGTCCCGCGGCCAACTATGCCAGGCCGCACCGACTCCAGTCGCACTGATGCCAGTCGCACCCTTTCGCCAAGTCGTGAAGACCGCGGACGCTCAGGACGACCCAAGCTCTATGGTGAAATTAGCGGCGAATCCCAACCCCGACACAGGGTACGCCAGTCGAGCATTGAACCCGAAAATGTTCAGTACAGTCGTAGGTACGGTCCTGAAGATGTCAGATGGGCACCGAGATCTTCTGCCGACCCTGATAGGGGCTATGCTAGCAAACCACATCTTAGCAGGACTGCTACATATGTTTACTAGTAGTCTAGCGACAAGCACAACAACACGAATACAGAGGCATTCCATTGCCACAGGATACCCCCAACTCCCGGCTATCGGATGAACAACGGGATCATACTTTGGTTTCTACCTGGCGTTTCGCGGTTCATATTCCTATCTCGTCTTGGTTTCGGTCATGGTTATTGCTCACTCGACGCAAGTGCTGCGTTGGCGTTTGAGGAACGACTCTATGCTACTGTTCGTTTCCACTCGGAAACTACTGCTCCATCTCTGTACATTGCATATATATCGAAGCTGTTTTCGGGCTTCGATACTTCCATTCGTTCTTTCAACATGAGCAAAGCTTCATGTTTTGATGACTCGGGTGGCTTTTACATTCGCTTATTATTATTATTTTTTTGGCATTGCGGCATTTATACGTTCGCTTCCACACATGATACCACGAATTCTGGCATATTTGCACAGGGAAGGAGACCTTTAGTACATAGATTAAAGAAGTAATCTCAATGAGAGAAATCAAACAAATAACTTCAATTGGGTCCCACATATCATGTCAACCCTTACGTGATTTAAGTCAACAAATTGTCATCTAATCATGTCTTGTCTGTCGGCAAGACTAGTATGCAGATTCCTGCAGCCTTGACGTTGGATTTTGCAAAACGTAAATTAATCATCAGCACCACCCACCCGTCTCACAATACATTCCTGCGTTCCCAAATCTCACACCATACCCTCTTTCAACCCCACTCGTTCATGAGTGAGTAGTGACACAGCCCATCGCGCTTATGTGTAATCGTGTACCCAGCCCAACGGCGATCTTGCAGCCTCTCATCTCTCAGAACGGAACAGTTCTATATGCCGCAAAGCTGTACCGCGATGCAGGTAAGACGCATGTAAGCTTTTAGGTGTATTATGTAGGTAAGACGAGCAAGATTACCTCAGCCGTGTCTCGGGCTGAGCTAGCCTTGCCAGTCTCGCCTGCCTGTGTGGTACAAAAGTACGAGCCTTTGCTTAGCCGCATCTGGCAGAAGATAACATGGTCAGATCACACGGAAGCGCAGGAGGCTGTCGTATAGACTACGCGACAAGGGTGTTTCTGCGCGCTTCTAGGAAGATTACCCGGATCAGAGGCAGCCAAACGCTCCTAATAAGCTTTGAATGCATAACGCGGTGTAGGAGAAGCAAGGGATGACTTCGAGTATGTTGAATATATGTGTTCCATTCATTTACATAGCCTTTTCCACCCATCTGAAACCCTTATATGATCCACAAAGAGAAACGAAAAAGGAGAAAAGCCCAGGATATTTCGACCGCTCAACCCAAGTCGATCTTTGGGGATCAATCCAGATCTCTCGAAAGATCTCTCTCTCCAAATAACGCCTTTCGCTAGCAAAGCTCGCCAAGCGAAACAGATACACACAAGAAAACAAAACCAAAGGATATGCAACCCAAGATACAATGTGGGTGCTTTCTGCCAGAGGACAGCGCTTTGCATGGCTCGTAACATCGATACTGAGGTTGTAAAGGTAAGGAGATGAGATAGATATACAAAGGTGCAGCGAGTGTAGTAATGGTGTTTGTCGGAGGGAAGAGATATAGTAGTGGTGTAAAAGGAGTGCGAGTATGTGGAGGGATGGCGGTACTAGGTACTAGAAACTAGAACATTACTCTGCGTAATTCAACGCGCATTAGCCTCCACATGTGAGAATGGAAGCCGTGTGAAGATACGGACTTGCAAGAAAAGAAGTGTCGAGTACATAGGAAATGCTGGGAAGACAAGGAAACAGACTGTTGTTTTCAATCGGTTCGAAGGCTTCAAGTCAGCCGACGATACCGGTAACATTTCGCGTTCGGTGTCCACTGCAAGGCGGGCTAAGGCGATATGCATCCCGAGCAATCAGCGTTGGTGGCGTCGCGAGCTCATGTTGGCAAAGGACGATCCTTCGGAGTGAGGTCGCGTAATTTCCGATAAGGCGGCCGAAACTACCAAATCTTATGCGCGCGGCATATTCTCCAGAAACTAGTAAATGGAACAGATCCATTGCGCGTGTTTTGAGTTTGAAATTTGGTCGTTCTGCACCGTCGCTCATAACACGTCCCAGATGTTACGGACGATGGGGTTACTGCCCGTTTGGACTGGACTCCGAGGGTCAACAGCAGCCTTTTCTGGTGTCCATTGCCTGGGTAGTGGCTCTTCCCAAGCGACATGGCCGTTGCGTCCGTCCTTGATCGTCTCATTGGAAGACACTGGACTCGCGTCGTCACCAGAGGACTGGATATCATAGTGAAACGGATTCCTTGTGAACTCTTCTGCCCGTGGTGACATGATTGCATCGATGTCGTCCGCGGCATGTTGTGGAGCAGGTGGCTTTGGGAGCTTTGACTGGATCTCTGTCTGCAGCTTATGCAACTTCCGTTGTTCGCGCATGTTCGGTGATGAGAACCTAGTTCGAATAGCCTTTGCGGGAGTTGAAAGGAAAGTTTCGCTAGGAGATCGGGGAGTATCCGGTGCCTTGGGGAACGCTACAGGAACAGGTGCAGCCGAGTCGATAGGGGCCGAGGCTTGATTTTCGGGAGAATTGCTAAGACTGTCAAAGCGTGGTCCGGCTGCTTGGCTAAGTTTTGGCGGGAACATAGACATGAAACTAGGGGGCTCAAAGATGGCGTTTGTTTGCGCTGTACCGTCGAGTGATGCAAACCCGTTGAAAGTCTGATGTGCAGGCGGAAGGATAGCCTGGAAAGAAGGACGTCGATCCTCACCTTCAGAGTCTTTGATAGCCGCTATGCTGGGTCGGTCGAACGGGTTGAAATCTGCTCTTGTTGGTGATGTCAAGCCAAATGGATCCTCATCTGCCATCCTTGGCTTCAATGGTGTCATGTGGAATTCCGTAGCGCGTGGAGACTTCAGTTCATCTTCTAGGCTTGCATCTGTGTTACCAAAAACGTCTTTGGGGAAATCTGAAGCGAGCGGAGAAGTAATCTTAGGCACTTCATGACGGTCATCATGATGTGAAGCTTGCGATGGCGCAGGTTGTCCTAGCTCGAAGGAAGTATCGCGGGGCGACAGAGGAGCAAAGAATCGCTCCTTGCTGTCTCTATCGAGTTCTTCATGCACGGACGCTTGAGATTGGCTATCCAGATCATAGCCTGTCGGCCATGGGTTGTCAAAGGAAGTTTTGATTGGCGACATAACCTCGGAATCTGATGATTCGTAAGGAGTGAAAGAGGGTATGTTGAAGCTCGCTACAGCAGGGGACCTCAGTGGCTCGAACTCGAACCCTGATGGTCGCAAAGGCGCTAGATGTCTCTCCTCTGTTCCAGACGATGCGCTCTCATCGTTGCTCTGGCTTGACCGTAACGGAAGTTGACGTGAAAAGTTGGGAACAGCGGAAAGTCTGAACGTGGGTTCAGAAAGCTCGTGGTCGTCGGAAACATCTTCGGTCTGAATGGTCGGCAGGTCGTCGTTGGTCACTGATACCATAGGCACGACATGACCCTTTGGATCAACATAGGGTGTCGTCATCGGGACAGGTGGCGATGGAAGTTCAAAGTGTGCTGGGCTAGAGTCCCAAGACCGACGGAAACCAGGTGAGAAAGCCCCAGTGGGCGCGGATAGAGGACCTGGGGATATCGCCATCATATTGCCTGTGCTGGCCCGCTGCATACTGATATCGCTGTCGGGTGGAAGTGGTGCCGTTCGTGGAGTACGCGAACCTGAATCAGAGTCTCTGTCATATTTGTTTCCGGTAGAGCGAGATGTAGGGAGACCGGCAGACCGACGTCCATAGCCTTGGTTGTGGTATGAGCGGCTCTCGTTCTGTCTTAACAAGCTGTTCCTAAACTCTTGCAGCTGCATAATGAGGTTCATGTTCGGCCCGATCCATTTGCTTCGCTTCTTTGCCTTGTCATATGCTTCTTGTACACTCATCTGCGGGTCTTTGTACAGACCGTAGGCAACGATCAAACTCGCAGAGCGACTGACACCACACTGGCAATGAATGAGTACCCGCTTGCCTCGCTGCACTCTCTCATCGATCATCTTGACCAACTTATGAAGGTCAGGGACAATATCTGTGTTGTGCTCCCAGGGCATGTGAATGTACTCTGGGGTCTTGTATGTCTTGCCATCAATGACAACTTCGCGTGGTTGTATTGTCTGCATGACCGGTGCTGTTGCCTTTGGTGTTGTCGGCGAGCTGTCTTCCATACCAAACGACTGCTTCGGCCGCTGCGCCAGGGTGGCAAAATCAACGTTCTCCGCTGGGGGGCCATCTATGCGCCTAGCGTCAATGTCTTTTTGAGACTCCTCCGTCGACGAGGTGAAGGGGTTCTTTACTTCGCTCGCGACGTTGATGATAACATCGAATGTCGTGGCTTGTACGGCGGTCGGCTCGAAGTAAAGATATACGCCAGACTCGTAGATACAAATAGGTCCATTGGGATACGCAGCTGGCTTCTCCTCCCGTGATTGCGGCACATCAAAATTCGGTTCCTGGTCCTCTTCTTCTTCCATTTCGAAGGGAACTTCGCTAAGACCACTTGGCTTGGGTGCAACAGGACGTAGGGGAGGCAGCTGCATGCCACCCATAGGATTCGTACTTGGTGAACATAATGGTAGTGATGGAGATGACTGGAAATGACGAAGGGGTGGGCGGTTGAAGGACGGTGTTGAGGGTATTAGCAGTCGTACAGGCTTGCTCTCGTTGCTGCCGGGGGTCGAGATTGTTAAACTCAAGTTCGATGGTCGGCGCCTCGGCGGTGTCGGTGGCTTGATAAATAACGGTGATGGTGGTGCCGAGCTGTTCTTCTCTTTAGGTGCTACTGCGATGGGTGCAGGTGTATGCGCGCGCAAGTTGCTGAGTGAAGACGCAGTGTTGATACCAAGGTTTTTGAGATTCCGAGGCTTCTTCGCAGGTGTTGTCGGACGCTGTAGCTCGAAGAAAGGGCCGGCTGCGGGGTCTCCGGCTGAGGGTTCTGTCCTCCGCGACCTGAAGTCGGCAACGAAGGATGAAGACGCAATT